AAAAATAGTAAAAGTATTAATGCTGTGGTCAGCCTTGAGAAGTCCTGTGCATGGAGGCTGTTTCTGCTGCCAGTGCACCCACTGAAAGCAAAAAAAGAGTACTTTTTCTTAAACATCAGTGGAATTCTCTGGTTCATTTTATTTCTGTTTTCTAAATGTCTTTACTGCATCTCCGTCCATCTGGAGCTGGGAGCTGTGAATCCCTGAACTGAGGTTCTGAGCTGAGCCCCATGCAGTGAAACCATCAGGGAAAACCAGTTGCAGTACCTGGCCCTGGGAATGAGAAACCACTGAAATCAAGGGCAGCTGCAGCAGCAGGCTCAGCCTGGGATGCTTCACCAGCACCAGATTTTTTTCTTGCCTCTTGGCAACACTAAAGTGAAAGAATGTAGTCAGCAGATTTGCGATGCAGTTTTAAAACTGGTTGTTGAGATTGTGCCACAGTGCTTTGTGGATGGTGTATTTGGTTATTTTAGACTGTAATTTAAAAGACCATAAGGCTATGCTGTTTGATTGTTTCTTTGCGGTTTTTTTCCCCCTACTTGACTTCATACTGACAGAGGGCAGGATTAGATTGGATCTTGGGAAGAAAGAGGGAGGGTGATGAGGCCCTAGCACAGATTACCCAGAGAAGCTGTGGCTGCCCCTGGATCCCTGGAAGTGTCCAAGGCCAGGTTGGACTGGGCTTGGAGCAACCTAGGAGAGTGGAAGGTGTCCCTGCCCACGGCAGGGGTGTTGGAAAGAGATGAGCTTTAAGGTCCCTTCCAACCCAAACCATTCCGTGATTCTATGCTCCTGTTAAATATATTTATGCTTATAATGAAGCAAGAGTAGCATCTGCAGTGTCTGCTTTCAGAAGTCGTTGGAATTTTACTATCTGAGGCCAGAATTATGGATTTGATTCCTGTGAATATTCTTTGCTGATTAGCAAGTGTGAGTAAGCATCCACAGAGCTTCATGTTTGTGCATCAAACATCTGTGTAGCATTTAGGTAGGATTGTTGGGGCACAGACTGAGATGAAAAACACAATAAGCAAGAATAAATGAGAGGGATTCTTTTTCTGTTATATCTGAGTTTGGTGCTTTTTGTACATATTACAGCCGGAAAATGTTCTAATGGGAAGGAGACTTCCAAGTTAGTGTCCCGTCCGCCTGGTTATTTTTAGGAGGTTTAAAGATTTGGGGTGTTATGTGGGTTCCTCTTCAAGTTCCTGAGAAATTCCCACAGCTTGATCAGGGCCAGGATTGTATCCCACCTCTGAAAGAAATAGAAGAAGTGAAATGCCTCTGGGTGTTTATTTACTGAGTTGCATTCACTCAATAACGTGTGCTTGGCAGTATGGCTGCCTCTGGGAGCCTGGTTAATCAAAAAAAGTTTAAAAAAATTAAAGCACTTTATCCATTTTGTGTTCTCTGTTTCTCCTGCCCTGATCTGAATTTCCAGCACCATGGGAAGGTGGGGTTTGGAGCAGGGAGCACCATGTGCCAGGGGATTTGCTGTGTGCTGGGGATACACCTAGTGGGTTGAGTTTGGGCAGGAGGGAGGTTGGAGCCAACCTGGCTGCTCATCTGGGCCACCTGCAGCCCCACGATGTGGGCCATGAGCCACAGCTTGAGACCTGTGGCACAGCACTGTGCTGGGCATGAGGCACTGCCTCTGCTGTCTGTCTCTGGAGGCTGCTGCTCACAAGAGTGGCTCACATGAACCTCAAGTGCCTGCTTTTCCCAACCTTCTGATACTGCTTAGCTGTGCTTGTGGCTGTGCTCGCATCTCTGAGTAAAGTCAGTTGGATCTCCGCTGCTTCTGGTGGCTGGGGTGACCTTTCCCTGCATGCTGTGTGGAATGTCTGCTGCGGGCTTATGGGGAGAGAATAAAGCCTGCCTGGACACCCTGGTGCCACGAAGGATGAGCAGCAGTGACAATGATAGCTCTGTTAGGAACATCTTCCTCGGGCACAGCCCTGTCAGGAATCCTCTCCTTCTTATCCCACTGCTCTGGCTGGTCACTTCACTCTGGATTTGGGACTTTTCTGGCTCTCAGAGCTTGTGATGTGCAGGGAGAAGCTCAGGTGAGATGGGCCCTGCTACAGGAGCAGGTACAAGATGCTGCAGAGCCCTTGGGCCACTACACAGGAATGCATTCGATCTCCTCAGCACCGGGTGGGCTGTTCTGCAGTGCTTTTACCCTAAGTGCTGCTCTGCCCTCCAAACACTTAGGGCAATATTAATTTTTAATGTCACTGTCTCTGTGTCTCTTTTCCAAGTGTTTAATTGATTTCTAGTTTTATGTTTCTTTGATTACTTCTAGGTTGCAAAATAGACAAGTCTGAGGAAGAAGACTGAGCCACATTGTAGAACACTTAATCTTTCAGTCAGTTTTCTCTGAATTAAACCAGAACAGCAGTAGCAAATCCAGGAATCCTATTAGATGACCTATATAATGGGAATAAAATTGAGCTTGTACCTTCTTTTACCCTCTAATTTACTGTTAAGAAATCTGTGAATGTTTTCCTTAATGTCCATTCGTTTTTATTACTGTTAAACCCCTCATTCCTGCCTGGCTGGGATGCATGCTCCTGGCTGGAGAAATGGGAGCAGGAGAGTGGTGAAAGCTGAGCTGCTGTGATGGGATGGAGGTTTAGCCCTTGGCTGGAATTAAAAGGGTTTGTCAATAGAGCTTTAGCAGAGAATGATGCCCACAAAACCCTGCAAGGAGGTGGAGATTATACTAGGAAAAGGCTCTTTGTTGGGATAGCTTCCTTCAGACTCCAAATGGAACAAGTGAAACTACTGCTTCTCAGCTCTGTTCCTCAGTGTCACTGTGTCTGTTAGGATTTCTTTTCCTGTTTTATTTACTATGAAATTATATTGTTGTTCTGGAAAAGGTTTCAGTAATAAATTTGCAAATGTACAAGCAGGTTGCTTTATAAATCTCTTAAAATCCATAAAACAGGTTGCTGGGTGAGTGACTAAGGGATTTCAGTGTTTAATTGACATCTCAGGAAAGAAACACTTAAAAATCTAAACCCTTGTACAGTCTTAAAATTTAATTAATAAGTAAATATTTAGCTTCTGAGATGACTCCTTTATAGGGGAAAAAGGGTACTGCTGGTATTTCTACAAAATGCTGTGCAAAATAGCTGTAAGTGGGGAAAACCCCCACACCCTTATTACAATAAATTTGGGGGAGGAAGGATGATAAAGGTAAAAGCCCAGTTAGAGATTAAAGGTACTGCAGAACACCAAGTGCAGGGAACTGAGATGTGGCTAAAGTGTGTTTGATTGTTTCTATAAATACAGGTATGTAGGAATGCAAACTGAGTCACCGCTCCCAGGAATTTACTGAGCAGTTTTAAAAGTCTGCAGGAATAATAAATGATGTGGCTTTCAGTCATCTGCAGGGAGAGCATCCAGTTCATAATGACACCTCCAGTGTCCCTGCTAATAATTCCAGTAAAAGCAATAGGGAATATGCGTGGGGTTTATCCCGAGAGTGCAGCCAGACACTGTGCAGATTGGTTCATGTGCAGAATTTAACAAATAATCTTACTGTGCATTTAAATGTGTTTATTTCCCTGGGAATATTTCTCACCAGAGTCTGTCTCTTTTGGAATACAACAAGGCTTTACTTTGTTAAATTGAAATTCCCATGCCCTTCTGAGCAGTGGTGTTTGTGGAGAGAGCACTTCCCCCATGTAGAGGACAGAGGAGGGGAGAGAGGGATTTTCCTCCCCAGTATCCATGATTTTAACCAGCTGTTGAATCTGTTGGGGCTGGACCTAAGGAGGATAATGCAAACAGATAGGGAGGGAGAGAGGCAGGGCCAGGAGCAAAGCCTTGTGAGCTCCTTGCAGCCCCCAGTTACTTCCTGCAGGCTCCTCTTGGTCCATAAACATCTTAAAGGAGGATTAAAGCCCTCTTGGCTTTACTTCCTGCTCCCTCTTGTCCTCAGCAGCTCCGGATCCAGGGCTGCCCCAGCCTCAGCTGTGCTCGTGCTGCTCAGCTGACAGGTTGATGTTCTGATTACTGGACTGGTTGGTAGAGATGATGCTGTACTTTAGGCTTTTTTGGATGGAACTATTCAGGAGTAATATAACAAGACTCTAATTTCTGTTTCTGTAAGGCCAGGCCAAGACTTGTTCTGTGGGTGGTATCTTGTGTCCTTGTAAGCCTGGTGGTACCGTATTCAGGCTTGGTTTGCTGGGGAGATGTGTGTGCTTAGTAGAGCACATGTTCTCTGAGCCTTAGGCATTTTCCCACCAGTCTGTGTCAGGGGTGGTACTAGAAGCAGCTCTGTTTCTGAACCTACACATGTAGATTATGTGTCAGGATAGTGTTGGTGTTTAGTGCAGAAAACCTCTGGTGACCATGTACCACACAAGAATCAGGCAAGTCCATGTATATGCAGAGATGTGGAGATGCATTCACTTCCCAGAAACCCTTCTTAGTTTCAATATTTCATGAAAGTACCTGTGGTTCCAACTACTGTCAAGAGCTGTGTAATACCCATTGACTGCGGTGGAGCTGGGTGGAATATTCCATGTGTTTTACTCTGCTCTGGGTGCTGGTGCCCGTAGCAGGGAGTGACTAAATCTGGGTCAGAAGTGACAGTTTACAGAAAGAACATCCTGAAATGAGGTATTTTCCTGTTGTGTTTTCACTGTGAAATGAGTATATCTGTAAAATCATTCCTTCAAGCCCGATGTTCTGTGCAGGAAGACCAATGTTGCTGAAGATGATAGAGTTTACAGAACTCATGTTGGACCATAGTTTGTATATTAATTACACATTAAAGATAACAATATTTTCTCATATAAAATAGACTCTTTGGCTTGATAAAATGCTATTGTGCTAATTACAGTACTAAAAAAGTCTTATTTCCTATTGTGTTATTTATATTTTCCCAGCTTTATTTTTTTGTGAAGAGAAGTCACATAGGGCAAACCCATTTTATATGTAATCCTCATCTGTGCCTCCTCCTCTGCTTCTTCCCTGTGCAGAAGTTCATAGAGTTTGAAGATGCACTGGAACAGGAGAAGAAAGAACTACAAATCCAAGTGGAACACCTTGAATTTCAGACTCGACAGTTGGAGCTGAAGACCAAAAACTATGCAGACCAGAGTAAGCAAAGCTGTACACCAAACACCATTGTACACATTGCCTTCCACACACATACAGTGCTACTTTAAAAATAATTTTCATACTTCTTCTTTGGTTTAATGTAATTTTCACAAAGCCTGAAATGTCTGGTTACCTCTTACTTCTGAGCCTTCTAAAGGATGGGATGTATCCACACTAATTCAGTAGCGACTGCATTGCTTTTCTTTTGTGGGGCAAGCTCAGTCTCTCCAGGTGCAAGACTTGGGCCTTGGGAACCTGTTTTCCGGTTTTTCCTTGTCTCTGAATAGAACCTTTCATTTTTTTTCTCTTATAAAACCCATCACCATTATTTGCTTGTTTATTTGTTTATTTTTACAAATACTTTCTTAGCATGTACAGCTGTGGTTTGCTGACTGGAGTTCCCTTCAGAATTCCTTGTTTTCTTGTCCAATCCTCCTGCTCCTCTAGTAGCCAGAAGTGCCAGTTCCAGAGGACAATTTAAATTGTTGTCAAACTGAGACACTTACGGGGCACTGGGCTACTGCTCAAAAACTTACGTGGTTTTTTGCACTTTATTGTGCAAAATTGCTGGTGTTGGGAACATGCAGGTACCCAGGAACTGAGTTTGTGATGAACACCAGATCCCACAACCTGCATTATTCTGCTTCTGTTTGTTTTATTCCATAGGTATAAATTAATTTCTAATCAAATAGGCTTTGTTTGCCAAATATTTTATTTTGAGAGCCTGTTAGCTGTGTGGTAGCTGATGGCTGGGATTCTCTCTTGGCAGTTTCTCGACTGGAGGAACGTGAATCAGAAATGAAGAAGGAGTACAATGCTCTGCATCAGCGTCACACAGAGGTTAGAGTGTCATCTTGCTATTTCTGAATAAATAAACTCTTTGTCTATACTTAAAGCCATGTCAGAGAATTCAGTTTTACAATCCTAGTGATGACTAGAGCTTCTGAATTTTGAGAACATCAGAAATACCTGACTGGAGGTTGTAAAGTGGATGGAGCCAGGCTCTGCTCAGCAGTGCCCAGTGGCAAGACTGGAGACAACTGGCACAAACTGAGACACTCTGAACATGAGTAAGAACTATTTTACTGTGAGGACAATGAGCACTGGCACAAGTTGTCCGGAGATGTGTTGGAGTCTCCATCCTTGGAGATATTCACAATACACCCAGATGCAGTCCTGTCAGCCTGCTCAGGGTGGCCCTTTTTGAGCAGGGGGTTGGACCTGATGGGCCCTAGGAGGTTCCTCAGCCTCAGCTGTTCTGTGATGCTGTGCACAGTGCCCCACTACCACATCTCCCACTGCCAGTGAGCCTCCAGGAGATGTTTTATGTTGGTTTTAGATATGCTCTTTCATAGCTTTTCTGTTATGAGATTCAGCTGAAGTAATTTCTGACACAATTTCTGTCAGATTTCCTATCAGATTATACTTAATATCATCACTTGTATCATCAGCTTAGAAGACAATAGCAAAGACAAGGAAATATGCAAAACCCCCCGGGAAACTGGAAATGAGTGCTGTAGAAAATGAAACAAAAGCAGAAAACGAGTCTTTCCTTCTCCGTTTGCCTCATGTGCTTTTCTCCCCTCCCAGATGATCCAGACCTACGTGGAACACATTGAGCGATCCAAGATGCAGCAAGTTGGGGGCAATAACCAGACGGACGGCAGTGTCCCTGGGAGAAGGTAGGGCCACGACCTCTCCATGTAACCTGTGTCACCTGGGAACTTACACACTGAGCGTGTGTGTTTGAGAGAGAAGCCAGAGCAGGACCTTTCCCTGGGGATGTGGACTGTAGCAGAAGCTCTTTTTAATGGGTTCTGGGTGAGTTGTGGGTACCTTTTTTAAGGCTTGATGACGAGGAGCTTTGTGCATTGTGTTATGAAGCTGAGGCTTTATCATGCTGCTGTTGATGGGGCCTCTGGAAAACACCTTTGTATTCTCAGGTAGCATGTAAAGGTTTACCTATAGAATGGATGGAGGTGTCAAATGAAGTGTTCGTGTGTGTGTCTTTGTAGGTGGGACAGCCAGAAAAACTGTAGCAATGAAATGCATTAGCCATTATAGGATTTTTTTCCCCCCTTGTTCCTTCAAGCGAAGTTTTCTGTCAGTCACTCACCCAATAAACCTACTTATGTCAAGAAATTGATTTTCCTTCCTTCCTGCAGTATTAAGGTTTTGACTAGAATTGGATTGTCTAAAATATAGGAATCAATTGAGAAAAAAAGAAAAAGCTGGATGACAGCTTTTGTGGACAGAAGAGACAGGCATGAGGGGTGCAGAAAGCTAGACAGGACATGGTGTAAGTGTTCATCTGTTCATAAAATCTCCCTTATCAGACTATTTTTCTTCCTTCTCCCTCTCGCAGTCTGGAAGTCCACAGTGAGCTCCCAGAACACGATCTGATCTAGTGTTATAGCTGGAATGGGATAAGCATGTTAGGCTTGTTTCCCTCCCCACTTAACCTTCTGGAAATAAGAATACCTGTGGAAGTGTTTACCCAGTAGAATGTAAAAGTACCACAGGCAAAACCAAACTTAGGCCTTTCTCTTTTAAAGGGTCAGTCCTATATGCTCCTGCCAGCTTGAATCATAGAATTATAGAGTATCCTGAATTGGAAGGAACCCACAAGGATCATCAAACCATTTTTAATGAGCTTTTCTTCCCTGACTTTCAAAGAAGTTGAAATTATATGTAGCTTTTTATATTATCATTCTATGAGAGAGCTGCACAGTGAAAAGTTGCTGGTTGTATCTACAAGACTGCCATACTCTGGGGTGAAGGGCAAAATTTTCATCAAGAATTGCCTCTTCATGTGGAGGGGGGGTCTCTGAGTAGTATAACTCAAGAATGGTTAACAGAGAAGGGGCATTGAAGGATGGTGTCCTTGGAAGTTGTCAACGTGACAGAGAATGTAGCAAAACGGAGATGTGACAGAGAGAATGTAGCAGGGAGGGAACCGAGAGTCTAAAAAAGGATTTGGTACTGAAGATAATGAAAAGGGACTAAAACTCCAGACATAACTTCAGCAGTATGTAAGCAATATTAAAGGCCAACCAATCCTGAGCTTAGCTTTTGCAATATGTATGAGCTTATTACACATGTTATAAAATGACTGCCTTATAGATAATAAATCGAACGCGCTTATTGATCGTGAGGTTGTTGTGTGTTCCTCCGCCCCCACATCTTCATATTGGAGAAGTCAGTTTTTTGCTAGTGTCGTTGGAGAGAAACACTCTATCTGTGAAAAGCCTCCAGTGGGGCTGTGATCTGAGTGTGTAGGAACTACCATTGGGAAATGGGAGTTTTTCCTTTACTTCCAGCTTTGCACCGTTAGCTGTGCGTGTAGCTCTGTATTTGCTGGGCTTGTGCACAAGCACCTGGGAGGGTGTGTTTTGATGTCCCTGCACAGCTGCAGGGGGCAACAGCAGTGTTTGTGGATTGTGGTGCACTGGGTGGGGGAACAGGCATAATTTCTCATGGTCTCTGATGCAAATCTGAATGGATTTATTTAAAATAAACGGGACTGGGGAGAAGTTTGTGCATCAGCTTTTGGGGGGTGTGGTATGTACCGATGGGTATCCAGGAGGAGTAATGAGTCTGGTGCTCACTTCCACGTGGTGTGGGTTGCAGTGCATGTGTACCCTTGTGTCTGTGGTAGGGTGCATGTTTGTATGACATTTGCTCTCTAATGGTTGTTCTTTTTGTCTCGCTTTTTGTGGGATTGCTGCTGTTTGACTGTTATGTTTGTCACTGCAGTCATCGCCAGTCCTGGAGGAAAAGGTAAATCCTATTGCTGCACCTGAATTTCATTAATCCAAGTGTTGGAGGTTGCTGTGGAGTGGTGACAGTGTGATGCTGGGGATGTCCTGTACTGGCATGTTTGCTCTCTGCATAAACTGGCCCCTGTGCTGGACTTGCTGGTTCAGGGGAGGTGGAGAGAGCCCCAGAGCTGGGATAACACAGCAGGGAGAACCTTGTGTATGCAAGTGCAGAGGATGTACAAGTTCAGTCCCAAAACAGAATCAGGTGTCTGGGATAGGACATTTGCACTTCACATCCCAGAATATTTTAAATTCACAGACCCATAGAATTGTAGAATATTCTGAGTTGGAAGGCACCCACAAGGATCATCAAATCCAACTCTTGGCCCTGCACAGGCACCCCAACAATCCTACCCTGTGCCTGAGAGCATTGTCCAAACGCCCCAAAGGCACTTCTGGCTGTGTGCTGGACAGGGAGTGCTGTGCCTGAAGCCTCCAAAGAGAGCAGTTCTCCTCTTAAATGGTGGCAAACAAACTGTAGTTTTGTTATGTTTTGTAAACTTTAGGATGTTACTTTTAGAACATCCTGACCCCAGGTTTTGTCTACTGCAAAATGTAGAGGAGTGCGCTGTTCACCTTGTAATTCAAGATGGAACTAACCAAGTGTTAAGACTCACTCAGTACTGGAAAGAATTGGGGGTATGAAGGCTACTACAGCACTCAAAGTTTAGACCAGCCCTTAGGATACTTTAAATTTCTTTGAAGCCTGGTAGCCAACCCCGGAACTGCAAAACTGGAGTTAGCTCTGCTGTGGTGTTTGGTCTTTCCCCTTTCTTGGGAGGTTTAGAAGAGGCTGAAAGGTGTTTCCAAAGAAACTCAGCAAGGAAATTTCCTAACAGTCTGTGTTAAAATCCATTCCTGAAGAACCTACAGCTTCTGATGCTACGGAAACTCTGTAGCTCTGTCTCTTTAGCAAGGACTGTGAAGTTCTCGTTTCCTGTCCATTCAGTTGCTCCTGTATCTTCTTGTGTGTTAAATGTTTGTGTGTTTGCATGTGGACATAAAAATGAGCTGTGGGTTCCCAGCAGAAATCTCACAGTGATTATCCAAAGAGAAATTTAATGGCTCTTTCATCATGCCTTTGGGGCAGCTTGTATGTCTCAGTGCTGCCAGGGAGTTATGTCAGGCCATCCCAGCATAGTCACTCTGGCTGCACCACTGGTTTGGCAAGGACTGTTCTGCAGTTACAGAAAACTTTCTCCTGCTTCATATACCTATGAGGCATGACTCCCTTAAAACCATCATTTTACTCTGAAGAAGAGGAAAGAAACAAAGCTAGTTAAAGCAGCTCAAAAAAAAAAAAAAAAGGCCTAATATTTTTTCCTCCTTGAAAAGGGAAAGAGATATTTTTTTGTAGTAGACTCTTAGGGACCCTTGAGTTATTTATTTAACCATAAAACTAGGAAATTACTGTCTTTGTGGCATAAAGTTCTAATTTCTAGGTTTGAATCCCTTTATAATCCCTTACACACAACTTGACTTTCTGTGGTGCTTGGATGAGTCCCAGGAATGAAGATTTCCTATTGGGGAAACATTTGCCTAGTATGTTATTGAGAAACTTGAAATCCACCTGTTAGAAACTTTATCATTCCACCTGGAATGGTAGCAGTAGGATATAAGAATACAGGCAGAGGTAAATGTCCTTTGCCATCATGACCTAGTAGGAGCACAGGTGTATTTGTCAGATTACGGTCATAAATTGGGATTTAGACAAACAGCAATGGAATGTTTTCACTAAACCTTCAGAGATTGCTAATATTTAAAAGTCACAAGTGTCAAGATGCCTTTTTAGTGAAAAGAAAAGGCTAAACGAAAACTGACAATCCTTATCACATAGGAGTCTAGGTTTGAATCTGTGGAAAGATCATAGAATCATAGAATTATTAAGGTTGGAAAAGACCTCCAAGATCATCAAGTCCAACCTTCAACTAAATACTCATGCCCCCTATACCATATTGCCAAGGGCCACATCCACACGCCTTTCGAGTGCTTCCAGGGAAGGTGACTCCACCACTGCCCTGGGCAGCCATGTCTGTGCTTATCTACTCTTTCAGTAAAGAAGTTTTCCAAAATATCCAACCCAAACCTCCCCTTGTGGAACTTGAGGCCATTTGCTCCTGTCCTGTTACCTGGGAGAAGGTTAATGATGTTGTGTCACTGATCCGTGTTCCTCAAAAATCCAGTTGCATGCGTCCTTTCTAAAAGAGTTTGTATATGAAACTTTCACATATCAGTCTCATATCTTCAGGAGAGAATTTTAATGCAGATTCTTAGGAAAAATGTATCCCAAAACTGCTTACTGGGCCACACTGGAAACACCTTTCTGCCCATTTTTGCCTATCCAAGATAGGCCACAGCAGGCATTTGTTCCTATCCAAGGTAGGCACTGGCACAGCAGCACACACGCTGTGGTGGCTGGGCAGTGCTAGGAGTGAGAAGTTTGGGCAAACATTGTGTCCTCTGCTGGACACTCCACCTCCATCTTCTCTAAAGGAGCTGGCTGGGGTACCATCCCCTGTGTTAGTGTGTTTGCTGTGTCCCAGGAGCCGTAGGTCCTGTGGCAGTTTTGTTTGCAATGATCACGGGTGAGGTGGGCTGTGCTGGTTTCCCAGCCTGGGCATCACACCCGTGCTGATGGTCATTACAGAAAGCTACGTGTGGATCTGCTGTTCCTACCAGAGGGGTATGGAAGGGCGGGTTTCATCACAACCCCACAAATAAGTGGAACCCCATGCAGGATGAAGGACCATCACAGAGCCCTGGTGTGGGTGCACATCACACAATCACCTTAGTTCAGCTCTTCAGGGATGCTGGAGTCAACTAGAGATACTCCCGGAGTAGAAGTGTGCTCTGTCCCTGCAGACCTGCTTCCCTGGCACCAAACCAGGTTGTCAGGTTCAGCAAGCTGCTGCTGCAGCCTTTCTACTTCCACTGCTTGCTCTAGATTTTCTACCACTGAAGCTTGGTCTCAAAACCTGTGCCAGCTTTTATGTTCAGAATCAAACCTGCAGCTAGTGAGTCATCCGCAGTTGCCAGAAAGGAGAGGATGAGTAGAACACACTTAGAAACACCTGGCAATATGCATGATGCATTTATTTATACCTTTGTTTAGTTTCTGAATTGTGAGTGTGCTGTAATAAGGGTATGGAGGGAGGATCAAATAGTACAAGTATTCCCTTACTTAAAATGGGAAGTGATTCAACCTGTCTGTTTCCTGTTGTTGAAGCTCACCAGATTTCAAGTGGAATATACACAAGTGCCATGTGGATGACTCTTTAGAGCCTCATTCCTCACCATCTCTAGGAGCTATGGGAGCTTTTATTTTTTTGCTGTGAGAGTTGTTTGCTGTGGCTTGTTTTCCCACAGTACCTTTGTTTCTCAGAAGAGACACCGAGAATTAAATTGGCAGGTGGTTCCCTGCACTTCTGTGTTCCTCCATATTTCTTACATTGATGGAGCAGTCAGTCATGCCTGTTGTGGTCAGTGACCCCCTCACTCTTAAAGTCACCCCAGGAGGAGGTGTGGCTCTAGTAGTAACACCATGGGACTGGGCAGCCAACATCCAGTGTGGGAGCTGGGAGTTCAGACAGCTGCCCCTTGAGAGGAAGGAGTGTAGTCGTATTTCTAGAGACTGATATGTCACATATACTAGTGTGGTGTTTGTTTTCTGTCAGAACCTTGTACGTGGCTAACAGATGTCTTCCCCTCTCTCTCTGTTTTTCTGTTTAGCAGGAAGGAACGTCCCAACTCCCTGAATGTCTTCCCCCTCGCTGATGGCATGGTACGTGGGCAGATAGGGGCCAAGATCGTCCCAACACTGGACCACTGGCACCTGAGTGACCTCGGCCAGCTGCAGTCCAACTCCAGCTACAAGGTTTTCTAGATCATCACAGGGCAAGGGTTTCCCACTCTCCCACTGTCAATAATGTCCCACATTTTCATTAAGCTGGAGACCAATCTGTGTCCATAACCCTTTGCAGCCTCTCCATGTGTGTTTGCTCCCGTGGTAGCTGTGCTGGAGGTGGGAGGATATTCTTCTGCAGATCTGGCATATGGTGCGGAAAGGATTTGACACGGCTCCTCATGCTGCTTGTCTCAGGGATTATCTCCTTTACTTGGCTGGCCCCAAGTTGGGAGGGATGCGTGGGGAGGCAGTTAGGGACTGAGGGAAGAAAAATCCCTCACTTCTCAATAGCTTATTTGGGAGAGGACATGGTGGAACCTGTCTCTTCTCTCCCCTTGATAAGAGCAATGCTTCTGCAACTCAGGTGGGGCCAGGCATTGGGTGCACTTGCCCTCCAGTGTTTGTCCTTTTTTGACTGATTGCTGTCCTGGTCTTCCTGTCTTCACTAAAAAGGGCTTCTCATCCTCTCTGAATGCCCAAGTCTTGCACTGTGCCTAAAGGTCTTGTGATCCTCCTATACCTGGTCACTGCTCTTGACTTGCACTGTCTACCTTTGGTACATCTGTCACCATCACTACTCTGCCTTCTGCACCGGGGCTTCCAAAACTGCACTAGAGCAGCCCATGGTGCTGCCTGATGCTTCTCATGCTCTGCTCTGCCATTTGGGGTGCTCTGCTCTGCCATTTGGAGCCTGACTTGAGCCCCAAGGCCCAGGTGGTGCGCCGTGAGCTGACAGCTCACTGCAGGTCTCTGCAGATTAGGCTGTACATGGTGACCCCCATTTCCCAGGAGCTGTACGTCTGGACTTTGCAAAGTCTTTGTGCTCAGGATCCCACTGAATTTCTCTCTCTGAGATGTTCCACAAATGCCTGGTGACAGGTCTGAGAGCCACTGGTGCCTCTGCTGAGCATGGCTCACAGTGTGTCCACTGGTATCTCACAGAGCTTCTGCTCTACTTCAGAAGTGTCTGGATCAAATTTACCTTCACTTTGCCTGGAATTTGTAGAACATCATATGTTTTATGTGTCACATGTAAGGACTGGTCTCCTTTTGAAAAGTTGTGAATCACTGATCCTGTAAAATCCATGGAGGCAGTAAAGACAGAGAGGAGATTAAAAAAAAAAGAAAGAAACCCCCCAGCTTGTTGACCCATTCTGCATGTCTCCAGCTTCCATGGATGAGCTTTGGCCTGAGGGACTCTGCAGCAGTGGCCTTCTTGATGCATAGCACAAGAAATTTAGACAAAATCACAGTTTACTCAGAAAAGAAAGCAGCAATTTAACTTTTTTAACAGTACCTCTGTAAAGTGACCAGGCTACTAGCACAGCACAAACCTCAGCACTTCATCAGCTCTCTGCCATCATGGAATTTGAAAATCCAAGTTATCTTTGGCTAAGATGGAGGTTTGGAACCCAGTCCTTGCTGTAGTATTAGAGGCACAGAAGATTGGGAAATGTAGCAACTTGCAGAATGCCCTTCAAGTCCCACAGTCATTTCTGTAGAGCTCTGCCTGGAATTAGGGAAGAGCAGGGCTACAGTGCAATGACATAATTAAGGATGGTGGAAATGAGAACAGAGCATGAATCTGTTTCTTCATAGTAACACTGTGCCAGCACAGCCAAAATGCACAGAACCCAGTGTGCCTCTGGGATCAGTTATTCCTTGGTCTCTTCAGGCAGTGCTGCACACCATGGTGTGAACAGGCCCTTGAGCTCTCCAGTGATCAGGCTGGGCACAGGGGGTTAGGTATTAGAGAAGAGCTGGGAGGATGATGTGGTTACATCTGTCTTCCACAGCCTTGCTATGGTGTAATTCCTTAAGTGGTGAAAGCAGCTGAGTGGATCTCACTGGTAATCCAGCATATGCATTGCAGGGGAATGCAGATAAATGGAAAAAGCTTTGATGTTCAGGTTCAGGTAATGGAGGGTATCCTGCCATGGGCAGGGAAGAAGTCCTGCCCAGGGGTTGGAACTAAGTGACCCTTACGATCCCTTCCAATCCAAACCATTCTGTGATTTTATGATTGCTGACTGGATCTCTTAGTGATTTCTCTAAGTGATCTCTCTAAGTGATCTCTTAGTGGTGGTGGTATCAAGCAAAAAAAATCCATTTCTGCTTCCTAGCAGAAGTAGCAGTGTGCTGCTCCAGGTGTATCCTGTGAGTATTGTTGGGATTCGTGTTGGTGCTCTTTAGGGAGACTCAGAGTGAAGTGCTGGGATAAAGTAGGCTGGATGGCATGTGGAGCCAGGGAACTCGTGCTGTGGAAGACTTGGTTGGGGTAGTGTGTTATGGAGGGCTTCCTGAATATGGAGCAAACCCATGAATACTTAAGGGATGTGATTGACTGACTTGCTGGATTTGCAGTTTGGAATGGAGATTTTCCTCCTGCAAGCTTCTTGCACGCTCCCTGACTGAAACGCTGTCTCTTAAATCCTCTGCCTGACTGAGATCTCAGCAGTGTGGCTCATGCTCCCCTTGCCTCTTCTTCAGAGCTCTGGTATTTTGCTGACATCACTGCACACACGTGACTCACCTTCCCAGTATGTACCCGACTCGTCTGACTAGTTTTTCTGCTCCATGGGGCCATACTATAGTTACATTTTAAGTGTAACTTGTTTACTTATTATTACTATTTTCTGTTTTAGTTGCTGTCATTATTTTATTTTTGCATTCAGTTGTACGTTTATTTTATACAGTGTTTTGGAGATGAAAGTCCTTAACATTTTTGTTTTTATGTACTATGCTTTCAGTGTTATAACCATACAATTGTGGCTTCTCATGGTGACATATGACTGCTATGAATGTTGGGCCTTTGCAATGCATTTTGGAGGTCACTACTACACAGTTGATGTTTAGGAGGTTGACAGGTATGGCTGTAGGTAAGTGGTGGCTATGGAGAGTATTCTTTGGGTGAGCTATGGGTTTTGAAGAATGCCTTCTGTGCTGTAGAGGACAGCTGTACTCAGTGCAATATTTAGCATTAACAGAGCAGTCAGACAATAAAATGGAGATACCAGCTCCTGGGCTGTGAAGAGGAGCACATTGGTAGTATTTACATTTGAGAAGAATTTCTCCAATGCAGGCTGGTAGGTTGATAAAGTACGTTTTCTAGGTAAATATAAAACTCAGATCTATAAACAAAGAGTAAGTGAAAGACCAAGGTAATTACTCATTGGTGTGCTTTGGTTGAGGGGCAGGTTATGCCAATAAAGATGAAGTTACAGGATATCTCCGATACTAATACCACCCTATAGACACTGATGATCCAGGGGTTTTGAATGACATCTGGTTCATAAGAAAAAGGAATGACATGTGGACCCACCTGGGTATCTCTTAGCATGCTAAAGTGTTCCTGGACTTTGGTTATTCTCATAGACTTACAGTGGGTACAAGGACATTTCTGAATTCTTTCATCCAACAGCAGCTTTGTTTGGGGAAAGAGGTTTCGTGGTTGCACTTCACACTTAATACTCTTTGTCACTTTGTACATCAGAAAGCACAGCAGGCGAACTGCAGTTGAGGTAGTCCAAGGCTTACTGTGTCCTATTTGTTCTCAAAATACCCATTTGTGTTTTTTTTTTTTCTTGACGTATTAGAAAAGTAGCTCCTGAACCAGGAATATGAAGTAGAGGTGGGAAGTGTCATTTTCACATGTAGCAGCCTAAGTGCAAAGTCCTCATCTCAGTCTTGATGCTAAAACCAGCAAATGTGCAGGGAGACAGTTTGGATATTCATGTGGGAATATGGGTGCTGTTTGGACTGACAGTACAGAAACTCTACAAAATGCGGGTTGCATTTAATGGTAACGCCATTTTAAAAACCCTTAATTTCCAATATAAATGCTCAGGTGCAGTGTAAAACCTTTGGTTTCCACGGTGCAGTGTTCATCAGGGCATTCTAAGATAAGCAATCGGAGGCCAGTCTAATTAAAGGAAGATCTTAGTAAGGTTCCAGATTTAAAAAAAAAAAAAATGGCTGCAAAGGGTTAAGTCACCATTTTTTTCAGTCTTCTCGCTCATGCCATTTTGGATTTTTTGTTACATTGTGAAAGTATTATTAGGACAAGAGAAGGAGACTTCCAAATGAATGAAGTGAAACAGTGTCACAGGTTGGGGGGCTCAGAGCTGTCTCTGAGCAGAACCAGGATCTCTGTAGTACTTGCACAGGAGTTGGGGGGCCAGTGGTGGAGATGAAAGCTGGGTCTGGATGTGCAGGTGCTGAATGTCACTGCACCCAGTATCAACTCACTGTCACATATAACTCTCAGCATTAATTTTGTCACCTCTCTGCATGGCAGAGTGGGCTGCCATGAAGAGTGGGAAGATCTCATTTGGGTCTGGGGATGATCACAGCACTGGTCAGACATTCCTTAGCTGAGAGAAACAGTGCTGCTTTAATTGACAAACACAAATCACAGTGTAAAACCCCACCAGAGCCTCGAAGCCTCCCTGTTTCTCAGGAGATGGTGGGACAAGAAATGGGGCTATAATGTCTGTATGGAGCCATTTTGTATATTACACACTGGGAATCCATCTTCTCCGTTGATTTGTCAGCTTTTTGAATTTTTGGGTCTTGTCATCCTACCATTTGGAAGTGGGAAACCACCCCTGTTTCCGCTGTGTTCTCAAGCTGGACCCATGCCTGGCTAGCTCTGCATAAGGGGGTTTGTGGACATAGGTCTCCTGCACCAGCCAAGCCAGACCATCCCAGCTCGGTGTCCGCTTTGCTTCTGCAGTTCAGTGGCAAAACCAGTTTGCTCTTCTCTCATCCAGGTGTGTTGATGCCTTACAGTAATGACATCAGCCAAGACTTCCAGGAGGCCACTTGAGATCCTTCCCAAGTGATACCCATGGTGCCTTCCAGCCTTGGGTACCACTGGCCTGGCTTGCCGCAAGTGCCAAAGCCCTTCAGCTTTCACTGTAGTCGGTGTGAGCTGCAGGTGCTTTTCACCTGTGATGAGACCATCTTTCCTGAGGTCACACACTGGTGTGGTTTGTGAAGAGCAGTGTTCAGTAGTAAAGGAGGAAGGATATCAGCTCTTTCACAGATGGGATTTGCTTGCTGAGTTCAGCACGAGAACTCGCTGCTTCACTGTGGTGGCAGTGCCCAGCATCACCAGCAAGCACTGGACTTGTAACTGGTACAGCGAGCAAGAACCATGCTCCATAATGCTTTAAGGCAGCCAAATACCTACAAATAGGACATTAACTGAAATGTATAGCTTGCTTTTCCCTCTCTGTTCTTCCCCCTCCCTGGAATTGCCACAGTGCCCCCAGGATGAAATGTCCGAATCTGGGCAGTCCTCAGCAGCTGCCACGCCGAGCACCACGGGAACCAAGTCCAACACTCCCACGTCATCCGTGCCCTCTGCTGCCGTCACCCCTTTGAACGAGAGCATCCAGCCCATCAGCGAGTACACCAATGGCACCACCAAGAGCAACAAGAGGGCGCGAGAAAAGCGGAACAGCCGGAACATGGAAGTCCAGGTCACACAGGAGATGAGGAATGTCAGCATAGGTATGGCAGCTTGTCATTAATTTAATCGACTTCCCAATGCTTGTGTCTCTGTTACAGGGAGAGGCTGGGCGACTGCACTGTAAGTATGGAGTGTGAGGAAGCCTGGCGTGGAAGGTACATGAGTGAGGCAGGGTTAATTGGATGTTAGCAGTTTTCTGCGTAGCAAATTTTTGAAACACCGGCAATGTGATTAATTTCACAGATTCACAGTATGAGGACAAGTCATTGAGTTCAGTGCCCTGCAGTGGCGTTCATCCATGTTGTGGAACCTCTTTCATAAGCAGTCAAGTCCCATCTTAGGCTGAACTTCTGTAACAGTTAAAAGCTTATATTTAGTTTTCTTTCTGGATTTATTCCTAAGTATTCTTATCCATTTGTTCCAATGCCAAATTTGTCAGATTAAATAATTATTTTCCTTTCTATGTGTTTATCCCACACCCTGATGTGGGATTGCAAATAGCAATTGTATCCAACTGGTTTTCTGAGATAAATGAGCTGATTTCTTTTAGTCTCTTCCTCATATAAGAACACCCCAAAGTCTTTGGAAGTTACAGTTGTTTTCTTTCCACTTCCCAGAGTCCTTTAGTAATTTGAATTAATGATTTCTTATCAGGAAAACCATCACCTAAGCTTTAGCACCAGGGTGTTTAATAAATAAATGGTGTAATAACATGATAAAAGGCCTTTTCTGTGCCCATGCAGTGTCTGAGCAGATCTCACCCCGGGTTGTATTCAGACTTGCAGTGGCCATCAGAAATGGGAAGTGATCTGTTTTACTGCTCATGAACTTAACATACAGAAGGACTGTAAGACTAGCTGAAAGTCACTAGAAAAATCTGCAGAAGCACAGGGATGAGCATAAGTCTCCAAGGTTGGCATCTGAACCAGCTGATCATCTTTTTCCCCAAGTTATTACTTGGAAAGCAGAAATTCCTCTGCTAACATTCACAAGCTGGTTCCTAACAAATCAAGACTATAAACCAGCATATAGCATCTTTTGCTGTAGCATTGAATGAGAACTGCTGTGACTGAGTCCCAGTCTGTATTTTCCTGAGGAGGTCCCAGGGTCACAAATGTACATCTGCCAGAAACTGGGGTAGTGTCTGTAGAAGCATACAGGTTCTGCACAGCCAGCTGTTAGATTGTGGTCTGGCTGTGGTCCTGGCCAAGGCAAGGCCACGTAACACTTGTATCAGATAAGCTAAGCATGGATGCCAGTAATTTGAATGCCCTGTAAATACCCTGATTTTTACAGTTGCTGCTTAACAAGCTCATTTACTATCAGTAGCTTTCTTGGGTCAAAGTCATCTCTCTTCTGTATGTGTGCAGTTGTGAGGTCACTGTTCATGTGGAAGCTTTTTTCCTTGGTGGAAGTATGATGTTGTGGGATCTGCTCAAGGCAGACAGTTGTGTCTTTCCTATGTGTTTTGCATATTCAACCTTTCAGCTGTTTCTCACCCCTAATGCAAAATCAGCTCTCCATGCTGAGAAGAAACTCACATACTTGAATTTTAATTATGTATTTTATGCATCTGTAATTAAAATGTCTCTCAGTGATGCACGTGCCTTAGAGCTGAGCTACCAAAAAATGTACTCAAAGGTATTTGGAGAAAAGCTTCTCAGCTTGATAAAATAAAGCTGAGAAAGGCGGTGTTTGTGTGAGATCTGCTGGGTGTGGATGCCTTGCTTTGGCAACAGATCCACATCATGCTTTGTCTTCCAGCGTGGATATGTTGCCAGCTGGTGCACAATGCCAGCCTGAAAGAATCAAATCAACACTCCAGTTGTCATCGGCTGTGTATATTTGGCTACTGAGACCGTTTGGAAAGGTCAAAAACTTCACATCTAATGTCGCTGAGGGACTAATGTAATTCACAAATTAGGTCCTTAATCCTTCAGGAATTCCTTGTGCGAGCAGGAACTGTGTTTGTGTGAACAGACATTGTGTTTGTGTTTTTGTTTCTTGTTTAGAGTAGGTGGAAGTCTGAGCTTTTGGAGAGTTTGGTATCCAATAAATGAGATCTGACTAGAGGAGGAATTTCCTTGTTCTTTAAATACTGGCTTCAGGCTGTAGATTACACAGAATCCAGAGCAGATTTCATGTATTGATTTGAAGTGAAATTTCACTGTAATGGATATTTAAACCACTGTAGACTTGAGAATTTGTGCTGAAAAATTGTTTCTAGTAAAACTAAATAGTGTCATTTCCTAACAACAGTAACCTCTGTAAAGCTGTACAGAAAATCACTTGCCTTCCATCTCAGCAAATGCTGCATGGAGGTGGAAGAGTTTTTACTGGCAGATAAAAAGGGGGGTTTTGCATTTACTTCAATGCATGATGTATTTCTCCTTATCCCATTTTACTGGGTATTCAGGGCAGTGACCTTGGTGATGCTCTGTTATGGTGGGGGTGGGGAGATTGCTTATGATGTTCCTGCTCTGCAATTGTGCCTTCAGCCACTTTCTGTGCTGATTTTAAGACTTTGAATGTGGCACCATAAAATTTTCAAGCCTCGATATTCAAAGCTGTAAAAGTCCCTTCAAGAAACACTGTCCTGTGAAAGTCCTGATGCTGTAGATGACATGTACTGTCTTACCTAGGGATGGGCAGCAGTGATGAGTGGTCCGATGTCCAGGACATCATTGACTCCACTCCAGAGCTGGACATGTGTCAGGACCCCCGCCTGGAACGCACGGGTAGCAGGTACTGTTTGTGACTTTTCCCTGTGTGCTCTGCCACTTGTCTTCACAAAGAGCGAGGAACAGATCCTCTGGCTCACGCTGAGCTCACAAGGCAGCTTTTTGACATAGTCCATATATTCTACCTAGTGTCAGGGTCAGAGATCCTGACCTGCTTTGGGTTCTCCAAAAAGGTTGTTGGTGATCTGCAGCAGGGTCTGTCCAGCTGACCCAGGATTGGGCTTGTTTGCCTTGCTGGGCCAGGGAGGACAGAGAGATGATGATGCAACAGAAGGTTCAAGACAAGCAAAGAGGACATGGAAAGAGGGAAGAGATGCATTTGTCTAATAAGAGCTCAGTGCTGAGTTCCATTTTGAAACCTCAAGCTTTTTTCAGTTTTTATTTTTTCCAAGTGTTTGAGGGGAGAGGCAGGGCTGCCCCACAAGAGAGGACAAGCAGAGGTAACCCCAGGGATCCCAGTCCTGCAGGCTCTGAGCAGGGAGGGCAGAGCACTGGTAATGGGCTCTGTCAGCAGACAAGGCAAGGGCATGAGTTCAGTCCCAGTGCTACCCAGGAGCGGCAGGAGATGGGGCTGAAGGCAGGTGCAGCTCAGAGAAGGACTGAAGGCACAGGCCTGAGATCAGAGGGAGCCCTGGGACCAGTGGATGGGTGTGAGTGCTGGGTGAGGCTGGTCAGAGCAATTGGGGCCCATCAGTGCACTGAGGACTTCAATGGAGTTTTCAGAAGAATCATCAGACTTTTACTGAACTGCTGTGCTGCTCTGGTCCCCATCCATCCCCTGTTTTGTACTAAATAGGAGGTTCCCCAAAGGCTCTTAATTTTGGCACTCCATTTCTGTGAGGCATGTATTAGTCTAGACTCAAGTAGCTTGACTTACTTTTACTAAGTTTTACCTTTTACCCTTGTCCAGTGGGTAATTTGGCATTACACCAGCAGAAGTAACTCCCAAATTCTTACAGATATGCAGAAGATAAATAGTATCCTGGCAGAGTGAAGGCAAGAGTATTTCACCGTCCCAGTCTGGACTGGGTTTGCTTACCCTCTTGAGCACTGTCACTGAGAAGGGTGTGAACAGCAATAACACCTGCATTTCTCAGCTGGGAGGGCACACAAAGTGAAGCTCCCCTGGGGATATGTAGGATGCATGGATGATTTTTAAGGTCAGAAGGAATCTAGGTAGCTGAAACAGCACTCTTTCGGAAAAACAAAAGTGACTGATGAGATCAGATCAAAAATTGGTCAAACCCAAGGGAAGAAGAAAACAGAGAGATGCACTAGGGTTCTTCAGGCAAGAATCTCTCAGCTCCAGGTGAGACTGAAAGGTACAGGAAAGACAGGCGAACTCAAGCTACTGACAGTGTGTGTGCTGCTCTGCAAGCAGAGTGCTTTTGTGATACATACAGCCCTGAAAGCAGAGCGCTGAAGGGGAAGGTTCAAGGTGAATTAGGTCTCCAGGTCAGACTCTGAGTGCTGGTTGCTCTTGTCACTTGTGCTGTCCATCAGACTGCATGCACTGATTAATTGCAGTTCCATCACGGCACCATTTGTTCCTTCTCAGTGCTCTCAGATGTCTGGGTAGCTGGAATTTTTCTGTAATTGAAAACCTCTCCTTTTTCTCCCCCCTCTCTTTGCAGTGTTCTGTTATCAGAGGCAGCTACCACACTCCATTTGTAAGCCCTGAGATATGATTTAAATAGTAAGGAAGCCATACAACTTGAGATCATCTCCATTGGTGCTGACCTCTCCGATAGATTGCTGGAAAAATTGCACTGCCTCTCCATGCTGGCTGATGCCCCTCATACAAGGCAGGCAAAGTGTTTCTACCCACATTAAGACCACACTTTAGAGCAGACAGCCACAATCCCAAAAGTTGCCTCGCCCTCACCTCCTATAGCAGGTGTTTGCTGTTTGAGCCATGAGGCTGTCAAGAAATGCGGCAAGATTCTTGGTGGTACCAAAGACACTGAGAGGTCGAAATGTTGCTCTCATCTGATAAGATTAGAAAATATTAACTTGATTTACCTTTAATGAAAAATACTTGGTGACATGTGAAGAAGCATTTCAGCACATAGTATCATCCAAAAAGAAAATTTACCCTTCAGGCTGATTGCACTTCCTAGTTGGCCAAGGAGAAAGGCCACTGCTGTTTTCAACATTGAATTCCTTGTCTGGTCTTACTGCTGTCTGAGGTTTCTATCTAGATTGATAGGAGCATGGAAATCCTTGCACAGTCTGACAGATTAGAGCTGAGAGCTTCTGCAAGCTGAAATTTTCTTGTCAAATATCGAATAGTCCTTAACTAGTATGACTTCAGAGGAAATCATCTGGACGAGCTTTGAGGTTGTGCATGATATAAGTGGTTGTCCTCAGCACAAGAAGGACATGGAGCTGCTGGAGAGATTCTAGAGGAGGCCAGGGAGATGCTCCAAGATCTGGAGCCACCTCTACTATGGAGGCAGTCTGGGAGAACTGGAGCAGCCTGGAGAAGGGAAGGCTCCAGGGAGACCTGAGAGCCCCTGCCAGGGCCTAAAGGGGCTTCAGGAGGGCTGGGGAGGGACTGGGGACAAGGGATGGAGGGACAGGACAAGGGGGAATGGCTTCCCACTGCCAGAGGGCAGGGTTAGATGGGATACTGGGAAGAAATTGTTGGCTGTGAGGGTGGGCAGGCCCTGGCACAGGGTGCCCAGAGAAGCTGTGGCTGCCCCTGACTCCCTGGAAGTGTCCAAGGCCAGGTTGGAGGGAGCTTAGAGCAACCTGGGCTAGTGGAAGGTGTCCCTGCCCAAGGCAGGGGATTGGAATGAGATGTGGCTCAGTTCCGTGCTCACTGTGTCTCACCTAAAAAATCCAATGCGCAGGCTGGAAGGTGTAAAGACCTTCCCCAGTTCTTCGTTCGCGAAGACTGGCCAACAACTTTCCAAACCATTCTATGAATCTACAGTATGGTGAATAAAACATGCTATTTTATTGACTTGGTACGTTCCCTCATTCAACCCATGGTGAACGGGTGGAATGTGCTCTCAGGCTTTTGGTCTGGGATGCTCAATATTTCAAAGACAAATGTTTGAGCTTAAATGTTGCCAGGTAACAAGATTCCTTCTGTTCTTTTGCTTCCAACAACAGCCCGACACAGGGGATTGTGAACAAAGCGTTTGGCATCAACACAGACTCCCTGTACCATGAACTGTCCACAGCAGGGTCTGAGGTCATTGGAGATGTTGATGAAGGAGCAGATCTGCTAGGTAAAACCTTACTAGAACCATTCTGTTTTCTCTGGTACAATGACAATATAGTAAGCTTCCAGAAGCAGTTAAATTCTCTTTTCTTTTCCCAGAACTTGGATGTTTAGCTTTTTTTAAAATGCCTGGAAGTTGAGATGTGTGTGACTGAAGCATGTACCTACAGTACAGTAACACTCACTTAGAAAATAACCTCAGCTGTTTGGTATCTTTTCTTTATGTTGTCTTTATGTGCAGAAGTTATTTTTCTATAGGATTCTCCCACATAAATAGTTTGAAGCCAAAATTTGCTCCTTCTGCTTCTGCACCACGAATTGCTCCCCCCAGTAATTTTGTACTTGGAATAAACAATTTGTTTGAAACTTGTAAGAAAGTAACCTTTGGTTAAGTTTTTGAAGTTTATGTGGAAATATCATGGTCTGTAATGCAGTATTTACTCTTCTACAGTTTGCCTAAGACATGTAGTAATTAACTTTTTAGGCTGGTTTTGAAAGTGTTTGTAGTACCTGCAGCTGGCCTGTGTGCTGTATTCCTGGCTGGGATTCTGCAGCAGTCAGAGAAGCAGCTTTGCCTCAGGGAGCACTCTGAGCCCTTACTCTCCTTACTTTTTTGTATCAGACTCTTGAGTATCTAGACCTTAATTTTGGACAGAATTTAAGCATGTTCTTAATTCCTGCTGACTGTTTTCCTGCATCAGGACAGTACAAGTGGTCCTCGAATGCTCAGGCGACAGGGGCAGCTGACGGAGTTCAGAACTGTGTATCTCACTTTCCATGTTACTGCTGAGTTTAAGGAGACATGAGGACTCCAGCAACATGCCCTCTGTGCACTTGGTAGAAAGAGATCTGATCTGATCTTAAAGTGAACATTTCCTTTCTGGTGATTACCATTGTAGAGCTGCTTAAGGATAATCTTGTAAGATTGGTTCTGTATATGTGTCCAGAACAGGATGAACTGAATCGTGTCACAGACTTGCAGCATCTCACCTTTGCACAAATTGGAAGGTACTTGTATCAGCTTTGATGCGTCTTGTATAAGGACTTTTTAAAAGGGTATGTTTCAGCAGAGGGGGTAGATTTTGCCCTATTCACCAAAAACTTAACCTTGAAGATGTGGACTGAAGACTGAAAAGGAGGTTAATACAAAACTTCTTACTTCATCTAAGACAAATATCTGTGAAATTGTTACTATTCTAGACAGTAGTGTGACTGGAATGTAAGGACAAGATCCAGACCACCATCAGAATGCTCAAAATAGCTTTTTGATGTTGGTAGGTTTGGGCTGATTTTTAAAATCATGGTGCTAGTCCTACAGCATGTCAAGAGAGAGCCCTTGTGCCTGGGTTGATGACCATTGCCTGAAGCATCAAGTCGTTTATTGTTTCACCTGCAACTCAAGATTGCCAGAAGAAAAACATCTGTAGAGGCTCAGGCCGAACACTCAGGCTTTCTCTGCTTGCAGTGGTGGGTGCCAACATGTGCTAACATTTTCAAAATTAAGTATTTTGAAGGAAAAGCAAGATTTCCAGGTTTGAGAATCTCCTGGATGATGGCAGCCATTGCAGAAGGGCTGGAACTCCTGCTTAAAGAGAAGCTTGACAGTAGGAACTACCTGTGATGGTTAAAGCTTCATCTCTCTACCTGCTGTGGAATGGATTTTAGTTAGCCATCTCCTTACATTATTGGGACTTCTCTTCCTAGCAGAATCAAAGCACTAAAACCATGGATGATCTTTGCCACTGACCATCTATTTTATCTTGGTGCTTCTCTGACTCTCTCCACTAATAACTGTGCCAACTGCTGCTTTCCTTCTGCCCCCAGAATGGCTGGGGCATCAGGGATTATTGGCTTGGAAGAGTTACTATTCTGGAAAATTACTTGCTTGATGTCTGAGTTGCTTTGGACAACCTGCCTCCCACTTTGGAAGCTTGCCTTCTGAGAATCCACTTCCCTACGGGATCACCCTGTAGCCTGCCCAGTGATCAGGGAGAAATGCAGACTGTTGTTATCAAAGAACCAAAGCTTTTAGCTGCCCAGACCTTGCGAGGTTGTTCACCACAGTCTCAGTTAAAGTCAAAGGAGCTTCTCCTCTTCCAGCTCTAAGGCTGCCCAGAGACTTTAGAGTGGTGAGATGTCTGTTGTTTAGCAGTTACCACTTGCAATAAGAATGTACAAAGACTTTGTTGAACAGGGCCCACGTAAGTGTGGCCTCTGAAGATCCTGGTGTGGCTTATGAGGAGGACATTTCTGTGCTGGTACCGTTTCTGGCTTGGGCAGAGCAGTAGAACCCTTGCAGGTGATCCCACGGCAGGCCAGCAGAATAGGAAGGCTTCTCCTGATTCCTTTTCAAACCTGGAGATGGACTGTGCCTTTTTTTGTGTGAAATGTTGGTCTAATTAATCCTCTTGCTGAGTTCTGGCCAGCGACTCTGTGCACAGATAAGTGTTCTTTAAAATGAACACACACGTTGCTGGGTTGTACAAAGGGAGGAAGCACAGAGAGGTCTCGGGGTCATGTCTCTCAACAAGAAATGAGTCTGGTACTTTTTTTTTTGCTTTACACAATAGAAAGCACAAAAGAAAATATGATAAAGGTATAAGAAAAGGGCTAGATCATAATGCTGACAAATCCGTCAACATTATCCAAAATTTTGCCTTGTTAGAATGTTCTCTCTTTGTGCTGTGCCTTTGAGTCTGAAGAGACGCTGAGGAAATGGTGCTGTATGAATGTGATGTAAAAAACAAGATCCACAAGCTGAAAGAGTTCTCTCTTGGTCATATTTGGAGCTCACTTCTCTCTATAAATCAAATGAATTAATGAATTTAACCCCACCTAAGTGAAGGCTTAATGCTTTCTCCAGTCTCTCAAAACTTTGCAATCAATCTGTAAAGAATTTTCTCTTTTTTTTTGTCTCAGTTTCCTAAAGAAAGAGAAATCTCATTAAAAGAGGACCTTAAAAACAGGACCTATAGAAATTACCCTTGAGAAGGGTCTGGCAGGCAAGTCTGATTCTGGAATGGAAAATCCCATTTATTGCTTCTGGATATCTGCAAAGTGGTCAGCGTCTCCTGCAACAAAACTGGCATTCTTCATTGCAATTTCTGAATATAAGATGACAAATGAAACATGGGTTTCCCCTCCCCTCTAATACAGCTTTACATACGTGAATATGTATAGGAAGTATTCTCAAGAAAAATGTGGAGTGAGAACTAGTGGTAGTTGGGGACCAAATTCCCTTCTTCATCCTACAACCTTAGGAGCACTAAGTTGGCTGTTTTCCTGCATATTCTCTTGTTAATCACAGGTTCTTACCTCCCAGTCCTGCATAGGCTTCCCTTCTCCCATCTTCCTCTTCTCCCAATCCCCCTTGTATCAGCTACCCCTTCCTGCTCTTTGCTATTCCAGGTGTTTTGGGACACAGAGGAGCACTATCAGTTCGGTTGTGTTCAGTGGGCAGGTCATTTACCGTGAAGGTGGTGAGCAGGTTGCCCAGAGAAGCTGTGGCTGCCCCATCCCTGGAATTGTCCAAGGCCAGGTTGGACAGGGCTTGGAGCAACCTGGGCTAGTGGAAGGTGTCCCTGCCTGAGGCAGAGGGGATTGGAACGAGGTGATCGTTCAGACCCAAACCATTCTATGATTCAGGTTTAGGATAACCAACTATGTCTGCTTTGGAAATTAAAGAACAGTGGCTCTGTGGTGAAGACAGAAATGCTGCTATGTTAGCGGTAAGTGTTGTATGCAGATGTTGAAATGGGATTATCAAACCATGTCCCAGCACTGCAAAAAGGTTTTAAATGCAACTAATTGTCTTTTGCAAAATGAAGTGTCACTGCAGAGCACAGTTATTATTAGAGGATCTAGTTGTTAAAATCACAAGGGGAGAGGAAAGTGAGAAGTAGTGGAATGAGCTGTTCCGTGTTTAGTGGTACGTGACAAAGTAACGAGAAAATGAGAAAGTAAAGGTTTACCCAATCCAGGAAGATGTGATTGCCTGGGATCCACATCTGGAAAGCTGAGGGTAGCTGAGCTGTGTGATTGCAGTTGTACCACAGTTTACCTTCCCTTGGGGTTTTTTTTCTGTCCTATATGTAGAGTCATGCCATCGACAGCCATGGCAGGTCCCGTCCTTACTATTTCATGCCTTTTGACATTGAAATGGCTGAATCATTGTTAATTTTTTTTGAACAAAATTTTGATTTTGTTGGTTTCAGTCACTGATTGATCCTTTTTCACTTCCTTTTTCCCTCGTCTCTCTGTGCTTCGCTGGACATGGCGCGTAGGGGAGTTCTCAGGTGTGTATCTCCTGCTCAGTTCCCTTTCTTGTTTCTTTTTTCCTGGTTGAGGTTGGATGATGTGGTATACACGTGTGATACTCCCCTGCTCTTGTCCAAACACAGTTGGCTTTGCAGACTTCTCCCACTCGCCTCGCTTTGTTGCCTCACACTGGTGCTCCCCACAGCAGGAGGTTCCCGCTCTGCTCACGCTCCTGCTGCCTTTCAGCCTGCTCTCCTTGCGTGGCTTTGGCCAGGTTTGCTCCACAGTGTCAGAATGGCCTCGAGGTCTTGGGGCTCAAATGGCTTTCTTTTTCCACCAGGAAGGGTGCTTGTAGCACAAGTTGGGTGGGCACAGGCTGAGTGAGGGTCCCGTTATCCTCTCCTCCTCACTGTGCTGTGAGGAATCCCTCCATGTGCCAATTGCTGTGGGGGTTACCTGGTGCATACCAGGTAACTTAGGGTATAGTGGTATTGACATTAAAGACACTTTCTTGATGGGTTAGAGTGGCAAAGCTTGTGTCTTTCTGGCAGGAGGTGGGTGATGGCTCATCTGTCACTGATGGCTCTGTCCTTTGTTTGGAGAAGGTGCTTGCTGCCCTAGGGCCATGCTCTGCACCTTCCTGTAAAACTCACTTGGGCCCTTTTGTGATTTCAGTCAAGGGGAGCTCTCTTGATTCCAGTGCAAACTGGGTGAAATTTTCCCTGTGGTGACCTGGCAGCTGCAGAGGTATGATGAGGTGTGTGATGAGCTCTGACCCATCCCTGTGCCCGGCACCGCTCTGGGAGGCCTCTGTGATGATACAAAGAAAGGGGTGGCATCATCCTTTCTTTTCATTCAAACTGTAAGCTACCTTTTGTGTGGATATTCCTCAGAAAACCTCCCACTGAAGCGGAGTTGGAGTTTGTTGCAGTGCAGAGGTGGATTTGGGCCTTTTTAGGCCAGATGAAAGCTTTGATACCCTCTTTTTTTTTTTTCTCACTGCTCCTGTCCTTCCCTTGCCCTGTTCATGATGTCTGTTGACCTGCCTTTGTTGTGGTGATGGGAAACTCAAGGATATGTCATACAGGAAAAATGATGAAGATGGCAGAAGCAGATGAGGTCATCTCAAGCTTGTCCTGACGTATGTTGCAACATGACATGCGGTCATGTTTTTAAACTAAAAGTGGGGAGATTTAGATTAGATATAAGGAAGAATTTATTTACAGTGAGGATGGTGAAGCCCTGGCACAGGTTGCCCAGAGAAGCTGTGGCTGCCCCATCCCTGGAATTGTTCAAGGCCAGGTTGGACAGGGCTTGGAGCAACCTGGGCTAGTGGAAGGTGTCTCTGCCCAAGGCAGGGGGTTGGAATGAGGTGGTCTTTAAGGTCCCTTCCAACCCAGACTATTCTGTGCTACTCTCAGGTGGAAGTCCCTGTTAGGTCAGGCTGCAGCAGAACAAGGTTACTTTCTCACATGTGCTGGCACCACACATTGTACACGTGCTGATGAGCTGCTCTGTTTGCTGTTTACAGACTGGTACTTAATGGCTGCTTTTTTTTCTCTTCCTTTCTTCCCCTTTGTCCCCATCTCTTTCTGTTCCCTTTCTCGTATGGGATGGCTCTCATAGTACGGGATGATTTCTTTGGTAAGGCGAAGGCCTTTTTTCTTTTTTATTTTTTTCCTTTTCTTTTTCTTTTAACGTGCATTTTTTTCCAAATTCCTTCCATTCACTCACCATCCCTCCATATGTCTTACATTACCTTGGCTTGTTTTTTGTGATGGTGGCATCACCTCTCCAAGAAGCAGGATGCAGCTGCTCTGTAGAGGTGGTTTGGGGATTCTCCTCTGTTTTGTGTAGTTGATTATCCGCTTTGATGCTTCACACTGTTTGCCTGGCTGTGGGAGGGCGCTGTAGGATGAGCTCTGCTAGACAGGGCTGTGCCCAGATCTCTCTCCTCTCTGTTCCACACCACAAAGGGGTGAAGAGGTCTCCTTATAGTCCACTCCACACTGGGTTTTGTTCCCACGAGCAGGGCTGTCCCACTACAGCCTGCGCAAGGAAGGTTATCCCACAGTGCCCGTTCCATGGCTCTGGGAGGCTTCATCCAGTTCTTTATTGCCAGACCAGTCTTTCAGACCTCTGGCTGGTTGAAGCACTGGGTTGTCACTGTGTCACACACAAGTAAGGTAGAAGCTAAGGTGAGGATACTGATGGAATGCTGTGTTCTGGCGTGATAGCTCACCCTCTTGCCCAGAATTCCTTTCTTTCCCAAAAATAGCTGCAGAGAGGGATGTATGACTCAAGAATGGGAAGGAGGATGATTTAATCCAAAAAGATGGGGATGATCTGTTTCCCTTGATGTCCCTCATCACCTGTAATGTCCTTGTGCCAATTTAATGCCTTACAGGCTAAGTGTTTTTTATGATTATTTGTAGCATCACTTAAAATTAGCAAGAAAATAATGTAATGAACAGAGGACTTCTGAGTCTTCTGACCAACAAGCAGCATGACATAAAAAAAAGGGCTATAGATCCTTCACCTTACCAACCCAAAATACCCTGCAGTTTGCACTGCAGTTAGTGTTTCCCACTTTTGTGCTTTTGGAATATTCTTTGGCACAGCATCCAAAGAACACATTGCCTGAAACATCAAAGTGATTAATTATCTGTCTGCTAATTTTTCAAAAGTTCTTTGAAAATGCTACTTCTTACTCATTCTTGTTGGGAATTTGCTTTTACCATCATAAATTCATCCCATTTAACTGTGGGAAGAGGATCTGTATGTTGGAGTGTTGTGGCGTGTTCTCACTTCTCATGTGCTGCCATGTTCCTCTAACTTTCATTTACTTAAAGTTTGTGTTGTTTTTTTTTTTTTAATTTTCTTGCAAATACTAATTAACTGGCAAATGAAGTATCATGAAAACTGTTGATGTCTTTACTGTGAAGGAAGAGGTAGTTCAGAGGGCAGGACAAGGAGCACCTGCAGCACAAACACTGATGGTAGGGGAGACTTCTTCATGCTCTGGGACCCATGGTGAGATACGAGCTGCACCCTCAGCACTGTCCCCCAACAGGGAGAGGCCTCTTTGCCTTCAGCTCTCAGGTGGCCTCTGTTCCCCTCTGTAAGGCAGAATCTGACCCTGGGGCTCAGCAAGTCCCTAGCAGGAGGAAACAATCCAGATGTGCTTTTGGTCCTTCAATTCCTTTGGTTTTATGAACTACAGAATTTGACCTTCACTCTCAGCCCCAGATTTGTCAACATTCTTGTAACCCAGTCTGCAGATTGCAGCAGTACATGGGTGCCCAAGGGCAAGTGCAGAGTGTCTGGTGTGGTTGTTGAGTGTGGGTCTGAAGTGATGGGACCGACACTTCACATTTTAAACACCTGTGAGAAAGCTGTTCAAGGTAGATAGGGCAAGGGACGAGCTGCAGTCCTATTAAAATTGCTCTAGCAGAAGGCTGGTATTGGGAAGCCTTTCATGTACGTGAAACTGGTCACAGTCACAATCCCAAATCTGTATTGAGAAAAAGAAAATTTGGCTTACACTAGGAAAGGTAAGCCATCACTGATGTGCAGATCAAGACAGCAACTTGGGCGGTGTTCTGCTGTCCTTTGTGAAAAAAACCCAAAGGCTACCTTCTTTCTCTGTGAGGAATGATAAAAAATGTTTACAATAGCTTATGGCTGAACCAGGAGTTACCACCTTGACTGCCCTGATTGGTGTTAGGGAAGCTCTCCCCTCTGTCCCTCTCAGGGAGGTCTGTGAAGGTCAGGATGAGAAGCTAGGTCTGAATTTGGGCTCTCTACAGGACACGTAGGTGTCTTTGCTGGTGTTGTTTGGTCATTCAGCAAGAGACACTCCACTCTCCCACATAGGACACAGGAGCCTAGGGAGGCCTAGCGAAAGTGATTTCTCTTCCTCAACCATGAGTCAGGCAGTGCTACAAAAGCTTCATGTTTCTAGGAGAGCAGGTGAAAACTGCCTGGCCTTTCTTTTCAGGAATGGGCAAAGAAGTGGGGAATCTGCTCTTGGAGAACTCGCAGCTGCTGGAGACCAAGTAAGGAACTGTCACATTCTCTGATCTGCCTGCCTGTTTATAAATGAGATGTCACCTTGAAGTAAGTCTTGGCCAGAACTCCTGCCTCACAGGGGCTCGCTTGTTTATCTGATGGGTTCTCCTGAATACTTATTCCTTCAGTTGTAGAAGAGGAATTGCTCTCCTGAGCCATTTCCTAACCATTTCCTTTCTGCAGGCACTTAGGAGAAGCCTCTGGGCTTCTCTTCAGACCCACTTGGGAGTCTGAGCCTTCTGTGAGGATGTTGCTGTTCAGAAGTTTTTATTTGCAAGGTTTGTTCTTGGAAAAGAAAATTCTTTGAGAGAAGAGTTCTCAAAGATTTCATTGTTAATAGAGGAGAAGCAGACAATGTAATGGAGTTAGTTTTTGAGAAAGGCTGGCAAACTAACTACTGACTAAGGCTGAACAGCCAGGAAGGAGAAGGCAGAGTACTCCCAGGGGAGAGATGGAGAACTCACTGGGATAGGAAGTTGCTGATCTTATCATTTCAAGATGTTTTGGAGCTGATTGGAAATATGTATTTCTATTGCCATCAAGCACAATTATCCACAATTGTGGATGGCAGAAGTTTTGAAAGGCATGTTTCGGACCTTCATTCTGTCAAAAATAGATTTGAACCTTGCACAGGTGATAGGTTACCCTACATCTGCCTTCTTCAGTGTTCAGCCATCTTCTGAAGGAGTCAGGATACAGGAATGGACTAAATTGTTTAACATGCTCATTTCAACAATCTTTGTAATGTCTGTGACTTTAGTTTAAGGTCTGTTTTATGGACAGCTCCTGGTTTGGGGCATTTTTGCTTATTGTGCCTTTCACACCTTTAAGAAATGCTTTGAACGTTGTGAAGAATGATTTGATTGCCAAGGTGGACCAGCTGTCTGGGGAGCAGGAAGTGCTGAAGGGGGAGCTGGAAGCAACAAAGCAGGCCAAAGCCAAAATAGAAACCAGAGTCAAGGAGCTGGAGGAAGAGCTGAAGAGGTGAGTGATTACCCCCCTGCCCCAGGCAGCTGAGAGTGAGGAGTGATAAACCCACCTCCTCTGTTCATTTGGCTGCGTTTCACTCATGGGATTAGCATTGGCATTCCAAGGTACCTTCCAGAGCAGCACAAAGCTGATGGTAGGTGGGTGAGATATTTTTAGCATTGCATTGTTTTTATTGGATTGAAATGGATTATTGAACCTTAGAAAACCAGAATTTTCCTTCCCGGAATTAGGATTCTGCAGCAGCAACTTCAAATCCAGGCTTCTAGGAGTGAAGCCTTAAGGGTTTCAATTTGCAGTTAAAAAAAACCAAACAACAACAAACCAAAACAAGCAAAACCAAACAAAAACCAAACCAAACCAAAACCAAACCAAAACCAAACCAAAACCAAAAAACACCAAACAAAAAACCAACCAAACAAAAAAGCACACCAAACCCCCCCCACAAAACCAAAAAACCAAAAAGACCAACAACAACAAAAAAAAAACAAACCAAACAAAATAATAAAAAAAGGGAATTTCAAAACCAGTAGTTTTGAAGGAAACTGCCTAGAGCTTGATTGTTTTAGCATCCAGGATAATTCTGAGAGAAGTGAATGCCCATTCATTTGCTGAAAGAGCTCATGCAAAGTTGCACAAGCAATATTTAAATGCCCCTGTTGATAATTTCATTGCTCATGTTAAGAATGAGAAGAGGCAAAAGAGATTCTAAAGTTCGATACAGGAAGATCCCACTTCTTGTTTTCCTCTCACACTAGAGAAACCGAAGCCTGGGATGGTTTCACATCCTTGTACTAAGGCTACCTCCTGGGGCTCAGAGCAGCACAGTTCCATTGTGGCTGGCTGTGCATGACTCTGCAGGAGCTCAGGACAGAGGACAGGGTTTGTTCTGCAGCTGGAATCTGGAAGGTTCTGTGGTCTGAGCTCAGAATCACCAAGAATAACACAGACTGGTCTCTCCATTGTTCAGAATGTCTGAAATGAAAGTAGTCTTGCAGGCAGATTCTTTAAATGCATAATGTTCTTTTAAAGAAATTAAAAGTACTCAAATACTTTAAGTATTTTTTAATCAGGGATTTGGTGTTCTCTTCTTCACCATTTTGGCAAACTGTCCTTCACATTAGGTGCTTTTTTCACTGCACTGAATCACACAGAATCACATTGAAACCAGAAGCAGCCCAGAAGAAGCACTTAAGCCAGCGTTTTCCCTGCTGATAATGGCTCAGTTTTCCCATGTTCTCATAAAACATTTGAACATAGATTATGGTTCAGAAATAGTAGCTGGGTGGACTGTTCCAGTATTTTGGTGACCACAACAATGTTTGAAAGAAGTGGCGTGATGTTGGTGAAGTTCAGAAACTCACGCTGGAAGAGGGAAAATATCAGAGAAGCATCTCATAATTTGTACACTTGGTACATGTGGTTTGAGATCTCTCCCTTGTGATGGATATAGCCAGACCTTCCCATAGCTGGTACTTTTCCTAAACCTCCTCAGGGCCAGCTGTGGTGTCACTTGCTGGTTTGATCCCTTTCTTCCTGTTTCCTAGAGTGAAATCCGAAGCCATCGTTGCCCGACGAGAGCCCAAAGAGGAGGTGGAGGATGTAAGCAGCTATCTCTGTACAGAATTGGTATATGACATTACTAAAATGCCTGCGGGGAAAGGGGGTTGATATACTTACCTATATTGCTTCATATGTATGTCCTGAGATGCACATTGATGTGCCTTTGTTAGTGATGAGGGCAAGGCTGGTGAACAGGTTGTGGCTGATGACCATGAAATACGTTTTCGTACAAGTTCCAAACCAGACTTTGGCGCAGCGGAGCAGCCGATCCAGTGGCAGTAGCACTGTGCAGGATGTGGCCTCTGCAGCCCGATGCCAGAGCAGGGCCCTGCTCAGCACCGTCCCATTGCATCTGCTTCTCCTAACTTGGAATTAAACTAGTGTGCAGTGAGGTTCACCTCAGGTGTTACAACTCAGGCTTCTCCAGAAGAGCCTGTCCCCGTGCTGGCAGTGAAATCGAGGTTACACAGCCAGCCTTGCAGCAGTGACTGCCACCTTGTCCTAGTGCTGCAGCACCATTTTCTTGTTAATTCTTTTCTATAAGCCAGTACTGCCTCTTACAGAATACAGGCAGAGAAGACTCTTGGGCTGTTCTTCTAGCACAGCTCTTCAGACTGTTTTGACTAGAGGCTTTCCAACAAAGACCAGCTGTAGCTCAAAAAAACCACAAACCAAGCAGTAGTAGAGATTTTCCTTGTACGTGTCCCTGCTGTGACAGGGAATTCGATACAGTGCTTGTCAGTCTTACTATCTTCTTACTTGTACAATGCATCAGAGGAGGTTCAGTTCTAAGCCTAAATCTCTTGACTTAATTGGGTGAACTTGGTCAGTTGAGAATTGAGGTAGATGGGAACATTTTCAAGTTGTGCTGGTGAGCTGATGACAAGAGCTGGTTTTTTTTTTCAGCTGAACTGACAGAAGGTCTGTTTTTTCCTTTAAATTAAAAAAATAATTAAAAAATTCCTTTTCATTTATACAGTTCTTGTTTTGACTAGTCATACGGGTTTGATTCAAAGTTCAAGGAGGCTGGAGATGGAATTGGTTAATTTAATTAGTTAATAATGAATTGGTAATAAGAACTATTTCAGCTCTCTGCAGCACTCACCAGCTTGGGAATTGCCACACAGTGTAGCACAACCCAGTGCCACTCCCTAGTAATGAGTTCCCAAAATCCTCAGAGTCTTTTTTTTTGGCAGATATTTTTCCCAATTTAGCAACATTTTTCTCATATTCCACTCTTCAAAAGAGACAAACAGAATCTCATTCCTGTTTTTCACAACCCAAAGCCACCTGTGCCCTCATTAGAAGGTCAAGTTGTGTCATCAAAGATGAAAAGGCCTTTCTTTAGTTTCCTGTGTCCTACCTTCATCTGTCTGTACTAACAGAATACCTCCTCTTCCAGTCCTCCTGAGGGGACAGATGGCATTATGTGGTGCTCCCTGCTGCTTGTGACTGGCTTTGCTAATGGATTAAAACTTTGGTTTCCAAACTTCTGGACCAACGGACCACTGTCAATTCTCATCACTCCCTGTAGACTATGAAAGCACCTTGCTGGCAATAGTCCTGGGGTGGGATGTGTGTGTGTGGATGTGTGTGTGTGAGGGCCATGTGCTCAAGTTGGTGGTGATGCTCATTCTAAATTCCATGGTTTTGCAGAACACCCAGAGGTCCGTGGGCCGTAGTTTGGAGCTCACTGTCTGAAACTAGCACCTCATATGGGGAAATTGGGGGGTAATTAGGCAGGACAGGAGGAGAACTAACAAATATGTGTCTGTCTCCTGACTTGCCCTGTACTAACCTCAATCCCATTCCATCTTTTGTTGGCTGAAGCAGTGCTCCTCCCCTCTACAGGACAGCATTCCCATTGCCCAGCGCCGGCGCTTCACCCGCGTGGAGATGGCTCGGGTCCTGATGGAGCGCAACCAGTACAAGGAGAGGCTGATGGAGCTCCAGGAGGCTGTCAGGTGGACAGAGATGATCAGGTGAGTCTGGGTGTTGGGGAATGTCCCTGTGTAGGACAGAACCTGGTTTGACCTTGTGTCAATGTAACCCCTACCAACACAGGGGTTGAGAAGTGCTGGAAGTTTTCCAAACTGTAGATGTTTCTCTCCTAATACCCAATTCTTTCTCCCATGTTCCTTAACCTGGACTGCAAATCTCTTGTTTTGGAGACCATTATTTGGAAACACTGGGCAGTTATTTGTCTTGCTTGTTTCTTGTGTGCTAATGAAGCTGGGAGAAGCTCTAGGGTGAAGTATTGCTTCTAATTGATGAATTCTAAAGGCTTGGCTTGAAGTGACTGTAATGCTGGGGTCTGTAGTTCCCAGACTGTCTATGGCAGTGACAGTGTTACAGGGAATTGATAAAGCTTCACATTGAAATGCTTGCACTTCATGTCAACATTGAAACTTAAAGTGTTTGGGTGTGCTTGCGTTGAAGGGCAGTGCACGTCCCTTTCTCTGGTTTGTTTTGAAACATGTTAGAATGGATTCTGACTTCTGATGTGGCTTCCTTGATGGAAATGACCTGCTACTTGGCAGAAGCTTGTGTAAAGATGCTGAAATTAACTTGCTTTGGCTATGTTTGTCCTTAGAGCTTCCCGTGAGCACCCATCCGTCCAGGAGAAGAAGAAATCCACCATTTGGCAGTTGTAAGTTCTTCGGTGGTTTGTGCAAGATTAAGAAAAAGGGGAATGTTGCCATTTCTACTTTAGACATCAGCTTACTGGACCTTGACGTTAATGAAATGTCAGATGAAAGTGTTGTTAGCTGAATCCTTCTGCCTTCAAGGGCTTCCTTAGTCCTTAGTCAAATTAAAATGAGATCTGAACATCCTCATTGCTTTTGTTTTACAAGCTGAAAAAGTTCAGGAATATCCTGGAATGGAAACATTCATACACTCCCAGTAAGTTGGAATAAAGGGCTGTTTTCAGAAGGTGTCCATTCCTGGAAGCTAAAAACACCTTATGCCTATCAAACTGAGGATGCAGCTCTGGGTTTGAAGTAGGGTCCCTGATCCTGCACCTCTTGCTTCCCCTTTTGTGTATCTATGGTGTCTGTCTCCCCAGGCACCTTTTCTCTTACTTGTTGGCCTTTTTCTGTCCCCAGCTTCAGCCGTCTGTTTAGCTCTTCCTCCAGTCCCCCCCCAGCAAAGAGGACCTACCCCTCTGTGAATATCCACTACAAGTCTCCCACCACGGCGGGGTTCAGCCAGCGGCGCAGCCACACCATGTGCCAGATCTCCTCCGGCAGCCGCACTCTCGAGTTCTTCCCTGACGAGTGAGTCATGGGCTGTATGCCAAGCATGGTCCCCCCTGCAGCTCTTCCTAAAATAAGCTGGTTTCCACTTTAGAAACTGTGTGATGTTAGTATGTCTGTCCCCTGTGGTTTATCTCCTGGAGCTTTCACGCATCAGTTACTGTGTGAATGGGCTCAGCAAACCTCGTCCTCCCAAGCATATTGTGACCATGGCTTTCCAGGCCGTGACAGATCATCTCAGCAGGGATCACTGCAGCTTGAGTTGGCCTGAGCTCAGTTCTGCACTCATATTTGCTGACTGGGATGGAATGAAGTAGGCTTTTTGTGGTGGAGTGTGATGGCAGCACTGGATGGAATGTCTGCCCAACACTTCTGACAAGGAGTTTAGGTGAAGACAAAAGTTCTCTCCACAGCACATTTAAATTACAATATTAGGTTTTAATCTTAACCATTCTAAAAATGAGCCTCTAGATGTTGCTACTGCAGTCTTACCACAATTCTTTGTGTCTCTGACACAAAGGGAGAAAACTCTTCTGTGCTTTACTGACTTTCACAACGTGTTCTGCCATTGCGAGGTTGTGCAGTTTCACGTGGTATGGTTTTTTGGAAGAACTTCGGAGGATGTGGTGGTAAAGTAGGATACCTTCTGCAATAAGAAGGATTTGTTGAGAAGACACTGGCTCAGGAGAAGAGTAATTGTTTTATAAGGATAAATTTGTACCTTGTAGATACCCACTGCCTTTCTTCTGTCTTTTTCTCTGATGGCATCTCACAGTCCTGCTGTGGTGTCTGAGTGCTTCCCAGCAGTGCATTACACAGTGGGACTGCACATCATCAGAGCTGCTTGTGCTCTCCTTCTCACACTGGGGGAGAAAGCATGAGCAGGGAAGTGTTTTGTTTCAGCAGGATGTGTGTTTTGTTTTAAGTAAATATGTCGCTATGTGTGTGTGTGTATAAGTAGGGAGTTTTGGTTTGGATTTGATTGTTCTGCTGATGTTGATTGTATCTCATAATGATACTTAAAAAATCTGTTGAGAGCTGGAGCTGACACTCAAACTGCTTTTGTTTATATTAAAACATGCCTAAAAGCTCACAGATCAATTTTTGGTTTAACCTTTGCTAGTGCAAAGCTGGAGTTGTTCTCTTGGAACCAGCAGTAAGTGCACATTTTCCTTGTCAGCACAGAAAGCCTAAAAATGGACAGAAAAATCCATACTTGGCTATAAGTGAGGAGGGGAAGAAGTCAAAATGCCTTCCTGGTGGAAACATTAGATCAGTAAATCGTAAAGGCTCAGCAAAAATTGGTGTGATCTGCTAGATTTGTAGGTTTTAGGGAAGGGTGATTCCCTGTTTCTGAAGGGCTCTTGGAATATTTTAAGTGGTGATGACAATGACTTGGCCTGCCACACTGCACAGGTGACAGAGAGATTACAGCTGCCTGTGTCTGCTCCTCAAGTTTCTCTTTCTCTGATTCCCTGCATCTGTTTTCACAGCTGGATTTGGTTTGCTCTGTGTGCCCTCCCCTGTTCTGGCCACCCTCCTTTCACCCTCAGCTCCTGCCTTTAACCATTGATTGAGAGGTAATGCTGTGCTTCTCTGCTCAGTGACTGCACATCCTCGGCACGCCGGGAGCAGAAGCGGGAGCAGTACCGGCAGGTCCGGGAGCATGTGCGGAATGACGACGGGCGGTTGCAGGCCTGTGGCTGGAGCCTCCCAGCCAAGTACAAGCAGGTAGGGACCACACTCTGAACAGGCTGAGGGGAGGTACCCTTAGTCATTAGCTAATGACCTCATAATTGTGCTTGAACATTAGTTATTTCATTTATACTCTGAGAACTTTAACAATTATCTAGTATTAAAAACAGATGCTGCTTGCACTCACTTCTCCCCATCAGTAACACAAAATCAAACATTATCAGCCTCATTTGTTGGCTTGTGACTCATTTAACTGGTCAGAGATGCCCTGAAAGGGAGGAGCCTTCCAGCATGGCTTGAAAGTGGATGAGGTTCAGGCCATAGGATCATAGAATTGTTAAGTTTGGAAAAGAACTTTAAGTTCACCAAGCCCATTTGTCACGATGGAAGGCAATGCCAGCGTCCTAACTCTGCAGGGAGCATCCTTTCTCCATCAGCAGCACCACATGTAGCCTCTGTTAGTCATCACTGGGGCAATGATGATGGGGAAATGGTCTATTGGGTGGGCTGCTCCTCTTCCCATAGGGACTCTGTTTCACACAAGATGTGATAGGAAACCTCAGTAGCAACCAGCTCTGATCAGTCCTACCACTCTGATTACACCTCTCTTGCCATATCCTGGTGTTTGCAGTTTTATACTGTCTTTTCCATCTTCTCTCCCCCCAGCTGAGTCCCAATGGTGGTCAGGAAGACACTCGCATGAAAAACGTCCCCGTGCCTGTGTACTGTCGCCCACTAGTAGAGAAGGACCCAACCATGAAGGTATGTTGTCTCTGCTTACCATGCAGTCCAGAAAGGAGATAAGAAATAAGCAAAGAATTTGGGTCACTAGACCTGCAATTTCTACAACAATCTACTTTTTTGACATTGTATATTGCAAATTCTGTCTTCTGCTTCCTCTTCTTGAATGGTGATTTCTAGTGGATGTAAGAAAAAGTATTTTAAGGACACAATTCGCAGCTGGTTCTGGTTGGCAGATTCACTGGTAACAGGCCAGTATTATCTGGAGCAGATCTTTGTGAAGCTGTGTCTATCAATACTAGAATGTTTTGAGTAGAATGGCAGTTGGGAAGGGGTGGTCGTCTCTGCAGGTACCACAAACAGTTACCTGAAGTAACTGTTTGTTTTGAAATAGCCAGTTTGTCAGAACTTCATTCAGAGATGATTTTTAGAAATCATCCTGAGTATTACGTTGTAAGAATATCCTTACAGCTGTTGTTTCTGGAAGGTTGGTGTGATCTTTGGATAACGTCCTGTGCGGCATCTTTCCTCTATGGCTTTGAATAAATCCAGTATTTGTTTCTGTAGTCATGTTCCCAGCATTCTCCTAAAAAACTCACTCATAGGAGGTTAGCTGGATTTGATTTCAGAAAACAGGCAGTGAGTTGCTTCCACCCCACACTGGTTATGTGGGAGCTAAACCAGCAGATGGTTTTTCACACTTCCAGGGATGGGGCAGCCACAGCTTCTCTGGGCAACCTGTGCCAGGGCCTGCCCACCCTCACAGGGAAGAATTTGTTTGTAATATCTCATCTAAACCTGCCCACTGTCAGTTTGAACCCATTAAGCATCTGGCTTGCTTTGCTGCAGTGACTTAGGAACCCCGGAGTTGGAAAAACCGAGGACGCTGGAGAAACCTTTTTTCAGCTACACACCTGATTTATTATTTTCTTTAACTCTTTTAGCCACATCTATTAAAAAAGAGTCATTTTTTATGGGCTCGGAGATTCTCTATCTTACCTTCTTTCAATTGGACTGTCTTCTATTAGAAATCAGAAAGAATTGGTGTTTCCAACTAAATGTTTTAGATATTTGACATTTGACAGTTCTCCAAAAGATGCCTGAATTCAAAGAGACCCTGGATCCTGCAGAATTCTTAGTTCAGATTCCTATTTCTGTTCCTTAGCTGTGGTGTGCAGCTGGAGTCAATCTCTCAGGATGGAGACCTCTGGAACCGGAGCCTGGGAATGGGCAGAAATTGGATCCTGGGCGTGATCCCCTCACCTGTGATAGGGAAGTGGAAGGCGAGAACAACAAAAGTAACCATACATCTCCTGAGAAGAAAAAGGTCAGAAAAGAAAATGTTTTTTTTTCTCTGATGTTTTTTCTCATTCCATCCCCTGCCATGCCCCCTCTCTCAGTACTTCGCCATAAAATGCTCTGACTTGTGGGTTCTGGCTCTTCTGTAACTTTCTGTGTGATTTGGGACAAATAATCCAGGATAAAGTTTTCCAATTTCTTCTTTTGAAACATTTGGAGTTTTGAAAAAAATCCTAGTAATAAGTGCTTGGTGAGGTTGCTAGGAAGATTATGGAGTCCTCATCATTATAAATAAAAAAAAAAAAATTAATAGAATCAGGCAAAGCTTTGTTAAAAGAACAGAGACATAGAGTCTGTGAGTCCATTTGGACCAGAAGTTAAAGTTCTTGAGATTTAACCCAGTTCTGGTTTTTAATAGTCTTAAGTTTTTTAGTTTTGTATTTTTTAAAGAAGCATGCTGTAATTTGCAGATAACAATTCGACATTGTATCCTCTATGGTTTGTGGGATTTTTCTCCACAGCTGTCTTACACTGCTGCCCTATACTCTTCTGAGACCAGCTTGCTTAAGATGATCAGTTAGGTGCATCCCAGCCTCATGGTGTTCTGGCTGAAGGAATATTCAGTGACATATTCGTCGGACATCTCAACAGAAAAATTAGTGGCCAAATTCCTCTTGCCCTAAGGAGCCAGATAGGCTCTTTGTCCAGTGCTCTGGATACTAGTGCAGCAATATGAATGAAATTAGATCAGTAAAAATTAAAATATAAATTAATATACAAACATATACAATAGAAAATAAATTTACTATAGAATAGAATGTATAATTTAATATAAATTACACCATGTGTAAATGTTGCCAAGCACTGCTGAGGCTCAGACTGATTCAGGAGGAGAGCTGATTGGGCCCATATGTTTGCTCCCCCAAAGGCAAAGGAGCTCCATGAGATGGATGCCACATCCAGCCGTGTCTGGATCCTCACTAGCACACTGTCCACCAGTAAAGTCGTGATCATTGATGCCAACCAGCCTGGCACTGTGGTGGACCAGTTCACTGTCTGCAACGCCCACGTGCTCTGCATTTCCAGCATCCCCGGTGAGTGGAGCCCAAGCTGGGGTCTGCACTGGGGCACCTGCCCCACTGAGGAGTGCAGATGTCCTCACTTGGGAGCTAATCCTTGGGCTCTGTTGTGTCCTCCAAACACTATAACCCAGAACTTGCCTTCCTGTTGTGGAGATCTCTCCCTGTTGAGTTGCTCCTTTGGCACAAACAAAAGATGGGTTTTTGGGAACAGGAGCAATCCTTGCCAGAGTTTGGGAGGGCTCTGTACCTGCCCTAGATGCTGATTCTAGGGATGAGGGGATCTGCCATGGTGCTGGTGGAAGCTGTGGTGTCTCCCAAGGTGGTGAACCCCAAGGGTCAGCATCTCCCATCATTAGGGTGACCTCAGGAGTGCAACTACACTAAATGAGCAGTGACAGCTTGGATTACGTGAGAATCTGTTCTTTGCCCTTCAGCGGCCAGTGAGAGTGACTATCCTCCGGGCGAGATCTTCCTGGAGGGGGATGTGAATCCCGAGGAGTCAGCTGGAGCAGACGGTGTCTTGGCAGGGATCACGCTGGTGGGCTGTGCAACCCGCTGCAATGTGCCACGAAGCAACTGCTCCTCGCGTGGGGACACTCCTGTGCTGGACAAGGGGCAGAGTGAGTTTTGGGACATAAAATTTAGTGACGGTTCAATTACAGCTAGTCTTGTATGAGCCCATGGTGTTAGAGCCAAGTCCTTCTGTCCCCAAGTTAAACACTTGAGAGGCCTCCAGAAGTTTCTTAATGTGATATGGGAGGAACAAAGGCCCTTTTGGTACATCTCTCCTCTGAGTCGTTTTCTCTCTGATCCACATCCTGCAGCCCTGGTTGTGGGGGTCATGCAGCAGAGTATTTTGGACAGGTGAGATGTTTGCCCTGCTACAGTTGCTGCTGTTTTCATTGCTTTCTCCCCTGAGCCTTGGGGAGCCAGTTAAGCTCATATACAAACCATGCTGCTGCCCTTGCTGACTCCATACTGCAGTGACAGCCCTAGAGGCCTTCTGGTGCTGTGTTAGTCACAGATTGTGCCTCACTTTAAAATAGTCTCTGTTCCCCATCCAGGCAGAAGATGCTGGATGAGCTGCTGTCTGTGGCACAGGCTCAGGGCTTGGTTGAGTTTGGCAAGGAAAGATAAAGAATTGACTATAGCCTGATGTCTCTATTTAGTTAACTCACCAGCTCATTCTCCAACACATCTCACACTGCTCCTTGTCCTCCAGGTGAGGTGGGTCCTGTCTGCAATGGGAAGATCAACCAGTCCCAGTCTACTGAGGAGGCAACAGAGGCTACCGAGGTCCCGGAGAGCGGTGCCAGCGAGGCAGAGCCGGCGCAGGCCCGGCCTGGGCCCCTCACTGAGCATGTGTTCACAGACCCTGTCCCAGCACAGGCACCCAGGCAGAACGGGTAGGAGCACTGGGGTCAGAGTGCCAGCTCAGTTACTGATCAGCTCTGTTTTCATAAGCTTTGGGATAAGAAAAGCGGCCTGGTCTTCTGATAGAGTGTCAGACTTCTATCAGTTTTGTGCCCAAGCAGTATTACAGATGGGGTTAGAGGAGGGAAGGAAATTAAATGAAAATAAACATGGCTTAGCCTGCAGCAGATGGGGTCTCACTGTGAAGGTAGACCTGCGGTTAAGGCAGATCTTCCAAAGAACATACACATTTCACATTCCTACTGAAGGAACTTCCTGATCTGTGGGTAAAAATGATGATTGATTTTTTTCTAGTAGTACCTCTGATTTGCTGTAAAAGTAACCAAGAAAGCATATTAAGCACCCAGAAATTCTTAAGACAAACAAGTCTGTTGTGATGGCTTGAGGAGCAGAGTGGAGGTCTTGGGTACAGATTGTTCCTAAATGCCCAAGTTGCTCTAAGATATTTCTGTTGAAGTTGGAAATGAACTGTTTATGTAACAGCCCTTCTAAACACTGAGTGTAGATTTGAAGGGCTTGTTGTTTGTCAGCAGGGGAGAAGGGAAATGTTGCAAATTGCAAATCTGCAATTAAAAACCTCCAAAGGATGAGAAGTGATTTGTGCCTGCAAGGCCCCACACCTGCCTGTAAGTGCCAGGCTGTGGGCCTAGGAGGGCATTCTGTGCAGTGCTGCTGCTAAACCTCTCATGCTGTTGTTTTGCCTCTTCAGGGAGAATGGGCAGCTGAAGACAGAGCCCAGCACAATACTGCCAGATCAGGAGCCGACTGGGGATGCTGCTGGGGCCTGCACCAGTGCTGCCCCCACCATGTGGCTGGGAGCTCAGAATGGCTGGTGGGTTCCCCTTGAGCTGGCAGATCTCTGTCACCTCCGTGCTCTGGGCTCTGTTTTTCATGTCCACACACCTTCAGTTCACTGCTTGTTTCTGGAGAAGGTTTTCATTCCTCATTTCATTGCTCAGCTCACCATAGTCTCAGGGTTTTAACCTCACTTTCCCACCAGAAGAAAAGACTCAAGCCTGGTGAGGCTGAAGGTATGGGGCCTGCTGCTAACCCTTCCCAATTTGTCCTCTCTCACAGGCTTTATGTGCACTCGGCTGTGTCCAACTGGAAGAAGTGTCTGCACTCAATAAAGCTGAAGGACTCTGTGCTGAGCCTGGTGTAAGTGTGCATTCCAAGGGACCTGGAGGAGAAGGTTCAGGGCATAAGTGATACTTTAGAGGGGCAGTAGAAGCTCTTTGCCAGACTCACAGAACCACAGAATGGTTTGGGTCGAAAGGGACCTTAAAGATCCTCTTGTTCCAACTCCCTGCCACGGACCAGGTTACTCCAAGCCCTGTCCACCTTCCTGGCCTGAACAATTCCAGGAATATGGCAGCCATAAATTTTTCTTTGCTTTCCCAAGTGCCCTGGTTTGTGAGGGAAGTTTCCCAAGGTTTTTGTTATGGTGAATCTGAGAAATCTGGTAAAATAACTGCTCAGAAGCCTTTTGGTCTTTTGATCAGCAAAGATATTTATTTGTTGACGTTGGGAGCGAGGCTGTCACCACAAAGCTCTTGCTCAAAGGTATTGGTACAAAACAGGGTAATTTATACAGTGTAACTCCTATGATTACAACATCTTACATACATATTCATATGATTGCAACATCTAATCATACATATTGATAATAGGTGGAGTATAGAGGTGGAGCTTTTCTTGGCCCTCAATTCTGGGGGTACATCTGCCTTTCTTCATCATTAGTTCATCTGTAGTCTTCCTCAGTGTGACCTCTAACTTTCCACTGTCTTTGCCCCAGTCACTGAAGCTTGGAGAGAGCCTTGGCTTTAGGCCTGTTTCTCCTATTCAAATGTCTACCTCGGCTGTCTTTGCCTTAATTTCTGGTCTACAGCCCCATTGTATAATGTTTCCAGCCTTCTTCTTAAGATTGGGTCCAAGGAACGGAACAGAAGAAATTTTTCTTTAGCAATTTAGGCAGAGCAGGTGTGGAGGGGAGAGTTTTCTCAGAGCAAGATACGTTGGTTAACTCTCTTTAGGCCTTGCTCTCGTTTTATGGGTGAGCCTCATACTGACCCATTTTCCTGCTCAACTGCAACCCTGACACAATTTAGTGCATGATTAGCAGTATCAGGAGGAAATGAATAGAGAAGAGAAAGGCAAAATTTCACTGAGTAAAGTAGGGGGAATTTGTTGAAATTGATGGGGTTTGTATTGGGAAGGAGAAGAATTTCCTCAACATAAAATTTAGGGATGATCCTATTGCAATGAAGGTGTGACCTCTTGCAGGATGTTCCTGCAAGTGCTAAACTGACTGGGAATTGTAGAGACAACATAAAGATAGTGTGTATGGATGGCAGGAAGGGTTTAGTAGTCCATCAGATCTACAGGCTTTTGTAAGTATTTACTGTTCTGTGATTTCAGGCATGTGAAAGGGAGGGTCCTGGTTGCTCTGGCAGATGGAACACTAGCCATATTCCACCGGGGAGAAGGTAAGAATAGAGTAAACAAAATGTGGCTGAAAGTGCAGCAGTACAAACACAGAGTTAAAACACACAGCTATTATACACATAATTGCTATCCTAAACTATCCCAGGCTTATGCTAACACCGCTTCCTGAGCTATTATGAACAAAAATGTGTGTGTATGGGCTGTGTAGCACATGTAGAGTAAATGTGACACTTTAGAAATGTATATGCAATGCATACATTGCTTGAGGCACATTTGGTAAATTCAATTTCTGTTCCTCTTCACTGCTGTGAGTTTTGCTTTCCTATGGCTTGAGCAGTTTCTTAGTTGTATTCATACCTGACAGCACTTGGGAATTTGCTAACTGTGACTAATGTTGGCATATAAAGAGCTTAGTTATTCATTGAGTAGCAGTTCATTCAGCAAGCTGAAATATAGAGATTTCTGGGTTCATGCAATTCAAATTTTGATTCAGCCTTTGTCACTAGCTCAAGCTTGACCATTGACACATCAAAATTGTTCCCCTCAGAAATAAGATAAAGCTTCATGACATAGAGACTGCCTGTCTGTGAAGGACACAATATCTGCCTGTTTAGTTAGAAATAACAGTGAGAGAAGGGAGATCTCATACCTTATCCTGGCTTTGACACTTTGAGGGAATTATGTTGTATGTATGTGATGTGAGGAAGCCTCAGTACAAGGACTGTATGGCCCCTTTCCTTTTCAAGTATTCTTCTCCTGCTGGTTTTGTTGTACTTGTTAGAGAAGCCTGTTTGTTTTATTGCAATAAAGGATATTTAAATTAGCCTGATTTGGAGCACTTTTAGACACCAAACTAAAATTTATTGTTACCTGTTTCATCAGTGTAAGACTATGCCTGAAGTAGGAGTATGGTAGTGGATCAAGGGTTGGACTTGATGATCTCAGAGATCATTTCCAACCCATCTGATTCTATGATTCTATGGAGGCATGGGAAGGTCACAGGCATAAGCCAGCTGAGCATGTGAGTACCACTTAAGCCTATATACCCAAATACACAGGGGAAGGTAGAGGATTCTGTTGTATGCTGACATGCCACAGAGGAGATGCATCTTTCCACACTTGTTTTTCACCTCAGATGGCCAGTGGGATCTCAGTAACTACCACCTGATGGATCTCGGCCACACTCACCACTCGATCCGCTGCATGGCCGTGGTCTACGATAGAGTCTGGTGCGGCTACAAGAACAAAATCCATGTTATCCAGCCAAAGACGATGCAGATTGAGGTAAGAGAGCACATGTGTGTCTGTGCACACACACATGTTGTATTTATTCTTACAGCTGTTTTATGCTGCGCTGTGTGAAATGCAGAACCTTTGGGTTGTCATTGCTTACTGCAGAACCCAAACTGTCAGTCTGGGTCATTTATGATTCAGTCTGCTGGGAGGTAATTATCCCTTCCTTCCTTTCCAGAGCATAATTCTTTAAATTAGTCTAAACTGAGCATTTTCTTTGCCTTTACTCGTGAGTCTATGAGGCCACGTACTGTCAAAAAACCTTTGCATATGGTCCGAGGCTTCATCTGTAGGCACTGTGGCACAGAGGAACAGTGCAGTTAGCAAGCCCCCGTTAACAAGCCTAAGGAAAAAATGATGTTTAGAGCCTTTTGGTTGAAATACAGTACAGTGGTGTTGGTACAGATCTGTCTAAGTGCTTGCAATAATCCTGTCAAGAAGGGAAAAAGTGCTGGATCTGAAGTTCACATCAGTGAGCCAAAGCAATTTGACCTTTGGAATTTATCCTGGAGTTGTATGTTTTCCTATTCTATCAAGTACATTGAAAGCCCTTGGTTTCTAAATGTCCTTGCTCCTGATCTGGTCTGCAAAGACCATCAAAGCTGCTCAAGCGAGGAATTTTCTGCGTGCTGTAGTAAACTGCTGTGGTCAGCTGGCATTAACACAGCTTCTCCAAGAGCTTTGGAACCCAAACAAGCAATCTCAGTTGAGGAAAATGGAGTATATGTGTAGATAATGGCAAACCTATTGTGAACTCATGTTGGTTCCCCTATTTCAGAAGTCCTTTGATGCCCACCCTCGACGGGAGAGCCAGGTGCGACAGCTGGCATGGATTGGAGATGGAGTGTGGGTTTCCATCCGCCTGGACTCCACCCTGAGGCTCTACCATGCCCACAGCCACCAGCACCTGCAGGATGTTGACATCGAGCCTTATGTCAGCAAGATGTTGGGTGAGGCAGTGGGGCCTGTCAGGAAGGGGTCTGTTACTTACTGAGATCAGAGCAGAATTTGCCCAAAGCGGACCTTGCCCAGAGTCATCACTGACTCCCCAACTCTCATTCATGCTTCCCAGGCACTGGAAAGCTGGGTTTCTCCTTCGTGCGGATCACAGCCCTGCTCATCGCTGGCAACCGCCTCTGGGTGGGCACCGGGAACGGCGTCGTCATCTCCATTCCCCTGACAGAGAGTAAGTGGCATTTACTGAAGGTACTTCTGCATCCCCCTACTAAAAAAAAGAAACTTTTGGGTGTTACTTGTGGGTGGCTCAGGCAGATCGATGCTTTCCCAACATCTGACACCCCTTGATCGTAGCCGTGTTCAGGGAGAAGAGCCCAAAGTATGAGCAGCCCTGGACTTGGTGTAACTCTTCTTTTTTAAGGAATTAAGCGTTTGGTTGAATGAATGTAATCTATTTAAAACCAAGCAGGTATTTGTTTCTGCCCTTTTCAGTTCATTTGAATCTATTTCCTCCTTGGGGGAACATCTCTACCGTCCCTACAGTCTTCTTTTTAGAGCATGACCTTGACAGAGCAGAGTGATATGAACTGATTCTGTAGCTACTGTGAAGCAGGAGAAACAAAGCTTTAGAAATTGTAATAAGTCTCCAAAAGGAGGCCGTGGGATGAGAAGTCAACAGGAAGATGTCCCTCAATATTTCATTTTGGCACAGACATCTCCATAGCAGTATTTTCCAGAAACTGACCTTAGAAAAGCTTGATTTACTCAAATTAGGGCTCAACTATATCAGTCAATTAGAAACTGGTATCATACACCAAATCCAGCCTGGGGAGGGGACCCAGCAGTAGGAGTAAATAGGTGCATCTCCAGAGCTGGAAGTTTAGTTGAAGCTCTTAGTAATCCTGTTCTGTACCTGCTCATCAGCATCTTATTTTGACAGTCTGTTCCAGATCACCATGGGGGAGTAGGATTTGAGGCTGATTGCAATTGCTTTCAATAGAAAGCAGTCAAATTTACATTTTCTCACCACTGCTCACAGGAAAGCTGAATAGCTCTTGTATAAAAGGAGCAAACCTCTTGTAATCCTCCTGGAAGTCAAGGATGGTCTCCTCTGAGGCCAGTGGAGCTGGATGTGCCTGGGGCTGACACCAGGAGGGCAGTGACACAGTCCTCTTCATGCATTGCAATCTCAGTCTCATTTCTGAGTCCCTGTTCTGAAGTCCACTCTACCTTGGGGCTGCTGTCCTTAATCTGAGTTAAGCTTTTTCCCTGCTGTCAACCAATTGCTTCACCTTTGGGTGTTCCTGTAAAAGCGTGGTAATCAGGAAGGTCTCGGTAGAAATGCAGCAGTGGATCCTTGTGACACAGTCCCTCTCCCATCTCAGATACCACATTTGTCCCTGTAAGGTAAGAGCCAAGTAAGCGAGAACAGTGCAGGTGTGAACTATATCAGAGCTCCTGTGGTGGTTTCTCTAGTTTTTTTTACTATTTCTGTTGCCCCCTGAATTATCTCCCAGTAATCACCTTTTTCTTCTCTCCCCTCCTGCCCACCACTTCCCGTGCCCCTCTGTGTTCCCATTCCCTGCCTGTGCCTAGCTGTAGTCCTCCACCGAGGCCAACTCCTTGGGCTCCGGGGTAAGTCCACTGCCTCTTCTCCTCAGCTCTCACTCCTTCCGCGCCCGCCCCCGTTGCAGTCACTCTCCCACCCTTCCATCCTGCCGTTCAGCTCTTTCCATCCATTGTTCCTCATCACTCTTTTCCTTAAGTCACACTGGAGAAAAACAACCAGAGACAATCATGTAAATATCCTCATTTCTCATAGCTACGAACATTTTTTTCCATCTCATCAGCCATCCATCTGGTTTTCTTTTGTGTTAAGAGTAATTTATTCTTCATCAGTGGTTCCCTTGCTATGGTAGGTCAGGTTTGAGATGGGGACTGGAGAGGTTCATTCAGTCAGAGGGTTCCAGGAAGCAGGAGTAGAGTGTTCTTCCAAGGTCTTCCTTGGTCATCCTTGTTTTTCCAAGGATGTTTCTCTCATCACTTGCAGGCCAAGGGCAGGAGATGCTGTGGCACCTTGCCGGCTGCAAGCCATCAGCCAAGATGTTTAACCCAAGAGGAGCTGATAAACATGAACTGCCTGGCTTTGTTCAGAGCTAAGTTCAAACTGTTTGGTTTGCTTGCCCAGCTAAGGCAGGGTCTGAGTTCAAATTTATGCCTTTCCAGGGTGAGAAATTAGTTTTGGTTTTTTCACTCAAAGAAATATATATGGCTGTCCAGAAGCACTGCCAACACATCTCCTCATTTAAAGCATCTGATATTAGTTGCAGTAAAAAGCCAGATACTGAACACACACTGATTCTCATTCCTCCATCAAAGCATTTGTACTTGTCTTGCCATCCTTACTTGAGCCTGATAGTGAAAAGTTTCCTTTGTTTAGATTACTTAATAACTGAAGTCTAGCCCAAGTCAGAATACAGAACTACAGATAATTAATGAAGCAATCAAGCTTCATTGAAAGCTGCCTGATTTTAGTACTGTTCCTGTTGTACTGATGTGAGTGTATGCAGAAGGAAAGCATGTGCTGTCCTGGGCCCTGAGCATTGGTCTCTGTTGCTTTCACATTCTCGAAGCCTGGACATGAAGGATGCAGGCCCCTGAGCCCACCTTGAAATCCTTGGAAGCTGTGGATGGTGAACATGTTTCAGATATTCATTGCTGGACTGGTTTGATGTTCTGGTGTCATGGTTAAATCAAGAACTGAGGAAGGATCTCACTTTACTTCTGTGATGGCTTTGACTGGGCCAAGAGGCTTCACCAGACCCAGAGACTGCTTTCAGCAGCAGGTGTGCTCACAGCTGGGCACGAGCAAAGGACTTGACTTGGAAACTGAGCAACTTCACCAATCCAGAGAATAGCAGTAATTCTCCTCTAGGTGCCCTGGGTGTCTCTGGGAACAGTGGGCACCTTTGGATACCCTGCCAGGTACAAAAGACCAAGGTTGATACTAGGACAGTGGGTAATTTCTGGAGGCTGGACAGAATCACTGCTGGTGAGTCCTTCACTGGGACACTAGTCTGGCTTGCCCCAGTCTAAAAGAGAGGTACTGTGTAATCTGGTGTGGTCTCCTCCATCACATCATTCACACAAGACCTTTAAGAGACCTGTGCCTTTAAAGGTTTTCCTTCATGACCCGTGAGTTTTCTCTTTGATTGAGTCCCTTCTGTAAAGGCGACTCAGAGCTATCACTGATGATGTTCCTCCTTTCTATCTCCAGCCAACAAGACCTCACCAACCTCTGGAGAGGGCAGCCGCTCCGGCGGGGTCATCCACGTGTATGGTGATGACAACAGTGACAAATCTGCCAGCAGCTTCATTCCCTACTGCTCCATGGCTCAGGCACAGCTCTGTTTCCATGGACACCGGGATGCTGTCAAATTCTTCGTCTCTGTGCCTGGTAAGGAAGAGCAGAGCCCTTCCTCAGCAGGGGCTTGTTCCGCCAGCCCCTCTGTAGCAGGGCTGGAGCTGCTCTGCAGCAGACGGGGTGCAGACCATGGCTGGCACTTCATGTGGCTCACAGAGGGATTTGAACTGCAGCGACTGCCAGATTTGTCCAGCAGAAGGAAATGGTCTGCCTGGCGTGTCTGTGCGTGTGTGAACTGCACGGGGGCTGAGCAGAGGCACTCACAGCACCTCTGTCCTCTCCCCAGGCAATGTCCTTGCGACCCTGAACGGGAGCGTGTTGGACAGCCCTTCGGAGAACCCCAGCACGGCGGCCACCGAGACCGAGGGGCAGAAGCTGAAGAACGTCCTGGTGCTGAGTGGAGGAGAAGGGTACATTGATTTCCGGATCGGTGAGTGCCTGTGGTGGGAGGCACCTGGAAGGGGAGAGGGTGTGTGGCTGTGGTCATGGAGCGAGGCATCGCTACTGTGGGGAGCCAGAGCAGAAAAGCCCTGCACTCTGTTTCTCCTGCGTCTGGCTGTGAGGAGGGATAAGGATTTTCCTTGCACAGTGCAAGGCTGCCGACCTGTGCCTGCAGTGCCACATGGCTGTGTGGATGGCTCTGGAAAGAACAAACCCATCTGTGCCTCTGGCTCCAAATGTTGCTGCCCCACTGGGATCACCCATGCTGCTGAAGGTGCTCTTGTGTGTAAAAATTGACTTCCTTGAAAGGCAGGGTGGTTTTTGCTGCTGCTGGAGTTGGTTTGTCCCATCCATGCAGTCCGACTTTGGAAAAGCATTGTCTTGCTGTAGTTGTTCTCCAGGCACAGAGGAAGGTCTCAGCTCATGGTGTCTGTTGTCAGACTGCTTGGAGTTAACAGTATTGGCCACTTTGGAGTATTCCAGAGCAGTGCACTATGGGATTTTCTTTCTTGCCATTTTTACTCTCTGTTTTCTCTCTCCAGGGGATGGGGAAGATGATGAAACAGAAGAGAACGCAGGAGACGCCACACAGGTGAAACCAGTACTTTCCAAGGCTGAACGGAGCCACATTATTGTGTGGCAGGTATCATATATCCCTGAGTGAGAATTCCTCCACCCCCACGATGTAAGTGTCCCTCCTCCCGCCTGAATGCCAAGATGTACATACAGAACGCCTGCATTATAACTCCTGCTGGAAACTGACCCCAGACAACTGCAACGGCTCCTGCCTCAGACTGTGACCCCCTCGGAACTCGCAAGCTTTCATCTCGGGCCTGTGCGCTTTCGGCAGGGTTGGATTCTTGTTCTGCTTTGGAGCTGGCATCTACAAGGAGAGAAAAGGCAGCACATCTTGAAGTGAGCTTGGAGCCAGGACTGTGGGAAGCCTTCGCCCAGCTGGAGGGGGGTGGCTCAGGTTCTCAGGCAGGTTGCTTCACTCCCACCTGCATGAGAAGGAAATGTGTCCTCAGGCATCCCCTGCAAAGCACTGGTGGTGAATCACTTCTGCAGCACCCCAGCAGAGATCCCTTCTAGTTCACCAGTGGGCTCTCCACCTTAAGCACAGAGTAACATCCCATAGTCTGAGAGGAGATTGGTCCAAGGAGCCCTCAGTAGAAAGGAGCATCATGGTTTGGGCAGCCCTTCTGCTGCTGGGCTGGAGGAGGCACCAGCACCATTGCTGTGGGGTTCACATCTTCCATCCTTGCAGTGGGAAAGTCCCCTCCTCTGCTGCTGCTGTTGCCTTAGCAGTTGTGTGCTGGGTGCCTGTGTGTGTCCCCAGAGGATTGTTTGGTGGCCTTAGGTGGCCAATGGGTGTTTGATTGTGGAGGCCACATGGCTGTGGTAGCAAAGGGATACTAGAACACTGCACTTTCAAGAGCAGAAAAGGCAACTGGGAAATCCCAGCATATTTTATCTAACATCTTTTATCTAACACTAAGTGTGTTAGTAAATAGTTCAAAAAGCTGGAAATTTCTGACTCCTGAAAAAAAATTGACAGCCCCTAAGAGAAGTGGGGATGGCCCTCCCTGTGTAAACACTGCTGGGCAGATGTGCAAAAAAAAAACAGGGCCAGGGAGAGTGGTTTTGAGCTCAAAGTGTAGAATGTGGCAGCTCCAGGTGTAGAGGCAATGGTGTGTTCCCCCTTTCTGTCAGCACAGTCCCATCCCACAAGGTCAAGTTCCGTATCCCCAGAGCACTCCCTTCTGATTGTGCAGGACTAGGACAAGTCGCAGTTGTTACTGATGAATTTTGAAGCTCCTGGTGGTCATCTTGTTTCTTCCCTGAGCTGTGCAGCACTCTGGGGTTCTCATGGACATCCTTATGACGTATGGGGACAGCTGGGCAAGCCTCCATCTCCCAGAAAGCGCACAGCTATGTCCTGTGCTTGCTGCCGTGGACCAGGCTGTTCCCAAGGCTTGTGGTCTAAACCTCCTGCTGTGCTGCAGGGATGCCATATATCCCAAGTGATGCCATATATCCCAGGTGATGCTCTAACATGTGGCTCCTCTGCTGATGCAGCAGCACTGAAACGATTTTTGAATCTGCAGTTCAGGAAAGGCTGGGGCATTCATTGCCCCTGCAGGAAGGCAAGCAGCACCTCTGGTGAACAGAGGCCTCAGCTCACAGTGGTACCCACACTGCCTGTGAGCAGTGCTGGTGACACACACCCACATCGCTGCTCCCCCAGGCAGGAATTCAGCTGGAGGGAGCCTTCCAGGCATCTGCACACTGGGCTCTGTGCCTGGCACTGGGCGAAGGGATAGCTGGAGTCACCATCTGCGTATGGGGGGACCTTTCACCAGGGACATTTCACTGGGGCACTGCTGACCATGCCAGGCTTCTAATTCACTTTCCCCATATGCTTTCTGCTAGGAAGAGCTCTTTGGGTCCCAACACAGAGTGCATTGAAGTTAAGAATATAACATTTAAAGCACAGATTCCACTGTCATGTAACAGTTCATCAGTTAGGGCCAGGTAAACCAGAATTTGGGATAGTTGGGGGGGGGGGGGAAGGAAAAACCCCTGGTAGAGTCCAGTTCCTTCACTTTGTCAGCTCTTTTGTAGGAAAATCAGAATTGCAACATTTGTACCTCTGTTCTGTATCTGGTTTGAACAGTTGAAGGGACATCACTCAGTCTCCTGTCACCCACTGGGCTCTGGCAGCATGAGGAAATCAGTCTGGGGCCTCTACCACCAGGTTCCTTTCCAGCTCGGTGCATGTTTTCCTCCAAGAGAAGCACATGACCCAGAGGGGCAGCTCCAGAGGGGAGACCCAGCCTCTGCTGGCAGCCCCTGCAGCCTTGGGTGGCTGCTGGGCATCAAGGTGAGAACTGACTGGCTTCAGCACACTTCCCTGTCATATCTCCACTGTGATGTATGTAAAGTATCTTGTATGTTACAAAAGGATTTTAAAAAGTGTCTTAAGGCCTGTAAACTCCGCTGTTTGGTCTGAAGATGGCATTCTGTAAAGAGCCTGCTGTATGAATACGTTCCCATGCTTTGTTCCCTATGCTATCAACAACAAACCATATCTGTTCTGTATGTAATAAACGTGTTAACATCAGCTTGGGCAGTGCATTGTGTTCCTGTGAAAGCACTGGGATTGCTTCTAGGTGTTTAAGAGTGGGACATTTCAAAAGGGTGGGAGTGCAGTTCAAGTGTTCACCGTTGTTGAGCAGTTAGTGGCAAGAAATGAGGTGTGGATGGTTCACAGGGTCGCAGCAGAAGGGGCTGGTCCAGCAAGCCAAATGCAATCTGTAGCTTCTGCCAGCAGCAGAAATTAAAGGTGGAAATTAAAGGTGGAACAGCTTCAGAAATAGAAGAGCAGAGAAGCATCTATCTGCTGGCTTGCTGCAACTTCTGTCAGGGTGGCCCCTTCAGGTGAACTGCCAGGATTAACACGTCAGGTCAGCTTTCAGCACTGTACAGGGCGGCAACTTCACAGTCCCTTGGGCATCTGCAACAGACACTGCGGGGAGGCAGCTCCTCAGCCCCAGGAGCACTTGGACACCATATTTATTTTGTTGAACCACCTTAGTTCAAGGGCTGTACGTGGCAGTGCACGAGGGAACCACCTCCTTACGACAGGAGCATGTTCTGCCCTGAGCAGGGGCCCTGAGGTGAATCTCATCCATGACTAACGCCTGCACTGTGGGGCAGCACAGGCCAGGGTGTAGTACCACTGGCAATGCCTCCAGCATTAGTGGGGGCATCTCAACCACAAAGTTTGGAAACAGGTACTGCGACCAGTCCTGCACTTCTGGGGCTGCACCCTTGAATAAGGTCAGGAGCGGTTTGAGCAGGGCTCAAGGTGAAGCGCAGACATGTCTGGTACCCCTCGGGGTGGGTGAGGAAGCAGGCCACTGCCATCATCGCTCAGACAACCCCCTGTACAGGTAAATGATCTGTGAGGTAACTGTACAGGTTTGGGAGGGCCAGCAAATCTCACACCACAATCTGGGTGTGAAATCCAACCTGTGGCAAATGGGCTGTGCAGCTTCCTGGAAGGGACCTTCACCATCAGGAAGGCTCCCAGGCTGCCCAGGGTTCTGTGAGAGGACACCCCTTCCCCCAGGTGTTCTGAGCTCACCAGTAGGACAGGACTGTCCTGATCAGTACCACCCAGACTCCCAGCTGTACAGGGCCCCTTTCCTCCTATGGCCCAGGAACCTCAGTTCAACATGAGCTGGGGCCTTCAGTTTTCCTGTAGCTGTGTCTGTCCCCAGCTGTTCCTGGATGGACCCCTTGGACTTGGAGGGGCTCAACTAGGTCATCTTCAGAGGTCCCTCCCCACCCAAACTGTTGGATGCCTCTGCACCTTATGCTGTATCAGCTCTATCTGCTTTTGCTCCTGGCTGGGCTCCCTGGTGCACCCTGGTCATTGCCTTGTCCAGGGCTGCTGGGGGATGCTGTGACCAGACTTGGCTCTGCCCACTGAGGGTCTGTGCTCCCACAGGAAGGCACTGCCTGTTCTAGGGCTGTGTTCAGATCCCAGTCGTGCAGTAGAGAGGACTGGATTGTTCTACTCATCCCATTTTACACCCCCAGCTCTCTTCCTCCTTGCTCATTTGGTAAGCTAATGGCTCTGCATTTGGCCTTCGTGATAATCTCCAGGCACTGAAAAAAAAAAAATTCCCAAGTTTTCTTAGAACTGTGCTGCAGAATTAAGACAACATTTATTTTCATTCGCAGATACATTTCTACACAGTTCTGTGAAATACTGTGATGTTATCAGTCATTTCTCTGTGATTCGTGCAGGACCCAAATTATCTAAAAAATGTTGTCAATTTTCAGGCTATGAAGAAAATTATGCTCCAAAGAACTGCAGCTGGCTGACAAGGAGCTGTGTCCAGGGAACCAAGAAGGTTCCTCTGCTGAGACCAACGTTATGGAAAAAGAGTCAGCATCTTCCTTTTGAGATGAGGTGGCTGTACAGAGCTGGGGAGAAAGCCAGGAAACCTGGCTACCTCCTACCATGGTGAGCACAGGGCTCCCTGAAACACCCCTGTGCACTGGGCTTCTAATGGGCAGTGAGAGGCACGTGGGAAGCTCGGGACACAGAACAAATCTTTATACAGGTGTCCCTGTAGCTTTTTTCTTTGCCCGTTCTTGGGGAGTGGCCAGGACCTTCTGCAGATCAATAACTGGCTCCTCTGTGACTGGCTTTCCCTCCTTCTGCCACTGGGCAAGGATCATGGCTCGGAGCAGCGGGGGGTACGGCAGGAACCGAACAGTCTCCTCTGGCACTGGGGTGAATTTCTTGAAGGTCTCCTCCTCGTGCTTGGGCACCACACGCCAGTCATGGTACATGACTTTGTCGATCTCCCTCACTTCCTCTTCAGTTTTGCCTGGGAAAAGATGAGGAACACAAGTGGGCAACACTGTCACAACCAACTTCCAGGAAACACAGCAACTCTTCAGCACCCAAAATGCTACAACAGGTAAGAGTAAATGGAGTTTTCAAAGGGTTGAACAGGACCTCCCCTGCTATACTACAGGATCTCGCTTCTGTCCTTGGAAATCAAAACAGAAACAGGCTGAAAGGACTACAGGCAAGTTGTTCCAGTACTATTGGTGATTCCCTCCCTTAATTTAAAGTGTCATTCCACCTCTCTCAGGTTCCGTTCCTATGGCTAAAGAACAAGAGTAATTTCTCTCTACACTGATGAAAGTTCTCTGGAAAACTGAGTGTTAAAAGTGCCCAACAACTTCAAAACCTTTGAATGAGAACTACTTCACTAACTCCCACAAGGGACAATTGTGTACATAAAATAAAGCAGTTCTAAAAAGGGAAATCAACTCATTCAAGCATTAATCAAAAATTTCAGGAACACAAGCTGTTTGCCACTGCAGCTTTTTAGTGACAATTTTACCCTGTGCTCATTCTGTGTCTTGCCTTCAAAGTCTCAGAACAGTCCGTCAGCTCATCTAGCACTGCTAGTGCTGCTGTTCCCCAAGGTCATCTTGCACTGGCTCTCCCACAGCACTCCTCGGAAAGACATTCCGAGGGAGCTAGATCCCAGCTTTTGAAACTAAAAGAAGGGGGAACGTCTTTTCCCATTCGCAGATCTGAGAAAAACACAAATTCCCCAGGCTGGGAGCGGCCGCGGTTTTTCCTGCCGCCCTCCCGGTGCTCTCCACGTGGGTGGGAAAGCGAGGCGGTCTTACCTCTGAAGGTGAGGTAGCCCCAGGCTCTGCCGTGGTCCATGTTCTGCAAAGAAAAGCGGATGGCGCTGAGGGCAGGGCGCGGCGGGCGGGGCTGCCGCGGGGCGGGGATGGGGCAGGGCGGGTACCTCGGCCGTGTAGTCCGCCTTCACCTTGGTGATGACCCAGTAGCAGGGCTCGTCGTGCGCCCACAGCCAGGACTTGCGGGTGACGGTGCGGCCCACGCCGAAGCG